CTTTTTTCCTTATTAGGTTGTCAAAGGAATAAAAGAAAGAAGTGAATATTCATTTCATTAATTAGCACCAATTAAGGGTCATACCTGGCCGACACGTCAATCTTGTTCTTGTCAATCTCTTGTTTCAGTACAAATACCTCTTCTTTTATCTTAGATTGGAAAGATTCGCTTAAGGCTTTCATTTCTTCTCCACGTTTGACATACTTTCGTAGTTCAGCAAGGATTACCATTTCAAGTTTTGCATAAGGTCGCTTCCATACCGACCGATGTTTTTTTACAGCTAATGTCCCAGGCTGTATTTTCGCCGTTTCGCCGTGAAGCACTGGAAACGTTTTTTCGCTAAAAGTTTGCTTAGAAAACTTTCGTAGAGCGTCTGCTATCATCTGGAAAAAAAGATTCGAATGATTTTACTAAATGTGAGCCTTACTTACGCAAAGTAGCATTTCATAATACAATTGATTATGAACAGGGTACAACTAGAAGGATTTGCCAATAGAGGCAAACGCTAACGGCAAAGTCTTCTGCAGAAGACAGCAGACTGAACCAAAGTAAAAAACTCTTAATGACTTTAAGTCTTCCAAACAGACCTGAATTTTTTCAATCAGTGAGAAAATCCCTTTCTAAAAATATAGGATTTAAGCATCCATCACCTCAAGAACCCTGCTATTTCGAAGTAGAAGTAACTAGCTGGCTTTTATCCCCTTTTTCCGCGAGCAATCGAAGGCAAAAATATACTTCCTGAATAATAACCATATTGACGCACGCTCCTTCACTCGACAAAACGCTTTGCAACTTTTCAATGTTTCGATAGCTGAGGATGGAAGTGAAAAAAAAAGCTATCGTCTGTTAGACGACTCGGCGTATGAAGAAGTGGTTTAAAACACGAGATGTTAGGTTGAAGACTCACAAATATTACTGCAATTTGTGCGTTCACTATAACCCAAAAAACATTGGATATTCGAGATGACTTACTTTTAGCCTCGATCTTCGATAAAGCTCGTGCAGATCTAAAACGTGCTCCAAATTAGTGTAGTGTTGCTTTCAGAATGATGTGTACGTTGATTGACCGTATTTAAGTGATAAATATGCAGCACGTATTTGCATAGGACAGCAGTTTCCGTCTTTCAATTTTTTTTTCGAGAGTAAGGTGCGCAAAAGCTTTTCATCGAGGTAAAGGCATCCTTCGAAAACTGAAACATCCCCTCGCCTTTTCAGTTTTTTTTCCTCCACATGTAAAAATCACCCAGTGAGTGTGCTTCTAGAAATATAATCCGAATTGCATCATCTTTATTATGCTATCAATAATCCGTTGTCCAACCGACCAAACTCTCCACCAAATGTAGAAATGCAAATATTTATTTCTCTTTAGTCCTCAATTTTTCAAAATCCTAATAAAGGCATGAGATTGTTTTAAAACGTTTTCATTAGTATGCTGTGTCTATTTGTCATGAGATTTACCAAAGCAAAACTAATTGTAGAATCCTAACGCGAGAAGATAAAAAGAAGCAAAAACTATACAAAAGTGGTCATCGTTACGGCCCAAGGTTAGTCGTTGCCATTTCTAAAGCGTTACGGAGCCACACTGTGGATTTCATTCTTTTTCTACTGTCGCTTAAAAGGTTTCATTGGTACACAGGAGAAAGAAACTAAATCGTTTCTGTCAAAGAAATAAAGTCGAGCAGGAGGGTCGAGTTGTACCTTGAGACTATAACTATGCTCGTTATTGAACAATCCGAGATGTTCTGCAAAACTGAAAATATTTTCAGGCCACAGCAATTAAAATGAAAGTCAGTGTTGGCTGAAAATGTTCGAAAATAGAAGCATGCTCGCGTAGTTTTCTTCAAACTTTCTGAAGAATCAGTCTCATTTCATACAGAGTTCAGCCATGCCTTCGGTCATTTATCGATTCTTAGCAACACTTAAACAGACAAGAGCATCCCAACAGTTCAACATCATAAATTCTCGCACAGAGCATTCGCAACAAAGAGCCTTTCTTTGAAATATAGTACGGCGCTAATAATCAGTGAAACTTCAACGAAACTTTCTCTAAAAATGTAAAGTTTAAATGCGAAAATGTATGTGTTTTAAGAAACAGGTTCATATTTAAGACTTTGGAGACAATTTGATAATGCCCGTTTCTTTAATTCAGACTTTCAAATAGGTGTCTGTGTGTGTACTGGCTCCCTTGGTTTCAACTGTAGACGTAGTCCTCTGAGAGCCATGAGAGATGGATTAAGTAAAGCATTAAAGAATAAAAACACATCAACTCATACCTTAGAATCGAAGGTCACATAAATCGCTTGAGAAGTTTCCTTAGCAGAGAAACTAAAGTTGAGTTAGGCCAGCTCAGTCCAATGCAAAATTATCTTGCGAAACAACCAGACGCATATAAACGTAGCATGAGCAGCAAAAAAATTTAGAGCAAACAACTCTCTTTCAGTTTCTGTGAATTACGTCTGTTGCTAGTTTGGGCCGATTACAAAGTTGGAATCGCGCTTGTCACGGTGGAATAACGAAATAGTATTTTTGCTACACCAAGACATCATTTTCGTCTTAGATATGATATATATATGCTAATTTTTATTGATATCCCATGACATTTACGCCTGTGTGACGTGGGTACATCAAGGCTCGAAACCAAATCCAATATTTCGGTTTTTTACGCGGATGTTTTCCATGAATAAATCTATGTCAGTCATCTGGAAAAGGCGCGAGTAAATATTTTATGTTACTTTTTTTTTCGAAGACACTTCAGGGTTACGTTATTTCTGCTAAAATTAAGATTTTCCCTCCTTTCGGAACTGAGTTAAATTTCATCGTGCATTTCAGAGGATTTTTAAAACACGATGGCACCTCAATAATTAGGGAAAACCCTTTGTTATGAAACTTGTGTCGCATTAGGATGGACACAAATGTTGACAATATACATTCTTATTAACCTTTCTAATCTATCTTACCCGCACGCCCGAATTATGATAAAGTTTGCGAGGAAAACCGTTTCTCATCGCCTTCGCCGAGAGGAGGTGTTGTATTTCCAAGTTAAAAATCATTCTCCTAATAATTACTTTCGTACTTAAAGGAATACATTTAATTTCGACCGCAAAAAATATTTCACTAAAAACATCTCCTCATACAAGTATGCTGCACTCAACATGTTGGGTGTTGAGGCCGCGATCATTGAGAGCATGAGAACGATATGCTGGTTCAGCACATTTAGCACCCCACCCCCCTCCCTCCAGAAATTTGTCGATAAATCGTGCTGTTACCCTAATATTTATTTATCCCTTGGAGGGGGAGGGAGAGGCATCATGGCGATAAAACAACATAACAGCCGCGGCTCGAACGTGGACCTATCAGGCTACGGATGTCAATTTGTGTCCCCTCAACTTGCCACCCTAACAATAATTACTTTTCTTCTTTATCCTCCGCCAGCACGTGATCTTCAGCACCCCTCCCCCCCCCCCTCGTTACCCCTTACCCCCTCCTTTGTTCTCCCAATTTGCGCCGGCCAGGTAATGAAATTACAAAAGGCAATCTATGCAGAATTGTGGCGCTGAAAACCACTGTTACCATGATAGGGACATTCCCATTCAGCTTTGATCAGTGCCTGTCACGTGAATCTGCATTAGGGAAAGATCCTTGCCCGTAGATTTGATTCCGAAATAGGCAAGGTTTCATGAAAGCCTTTTCATCATAGCAAGGTGTCAATCTATTCAAGGAGGGATGGTTAAATAATTGACTGACATGCTTAAAGCTACGAGTGATATTTTCTTCATAGTTTCTCCCGTACTCATGGCAAATTATGACAGCTACTTTCAATATGTTTATTTCATATAACTGTTTCGATTGATTATGTAATCGAACCATTCAGAAAGGCCTAATTAACCTGCATCCAGAGCCTTCTTACTTTTGGCCTTAGTGCTCATCAAATAAACACTAATCTTGTGGTCGATGAGGTGAGCTTGCTTGCTTCTCCTTTTTAGATTATTCGAGGTATAGCTTCGACTAAGAACAGCCCCTGCCCCTCTACAAAATCAGAGAGTCGGAATAATAAGTCGAGAATTCCATTTAAGAACCAAATGGCTATCGCAGTAGGAAATGCAGAGAACGTGACGCCTGGCGAGGTCTCAGCGGGGAGGGGGGGGGGGGTCGGTGGCTCCGACAATGTGATGCCTTACTTAAGTGAAGTGGAGTGAAGTGGAGGTTTGATGTCTCATGTAGCGAGAACAAAATGGCATTATAAAAGCATCGGAACATGAAGCTATGAGAGACTGCATAAAATAAGTCAATACACTTTTTTATTAAGATGACATAATTATTTTTTCTCCAAAAATATATCTGATAGAATTGATAAAATAAGTTTAGAGACTCAATCCCTGTACCTGGTATTTGTCTGATTGAAAACCTCCTACCTCCATAACTACATCCACGGGTGTAACATGAACCTAGCCTTAATATTTGGTTCTTTTGGTTTTATCAACTGGGTTGATAACCCATATTAACCATCGTAAAGAGTTTCTAAGCTAACGTTTCGAGCGTTAGCCCTTCGTCAGAGTGTTAGCCCTTCGCTCTGACAAAGGGCTAACGCTCGAAACTTCAGCTTAGAAACTCTTTATGAGGATTTCTTCACGTTATCAACTCAGTTGATAGAACCAAATTATCTTATTATTCTCAGCCACCAATACAGCATCACTGTTTCTTTAGAAGCTTAAGGAGGTGTACACGAGTTTGCAAATCGGCCGATTCGAAGTACACCTTGCTCAAAATTCAGTTCCTTTCCCCTATAAATTTTCTAAATACAATTTATGAACAAATTTCACACGTGAGCAATCGTTTTTATTAACTTTCTTCGTGCATGTCCCGAATAAACTGGAGAATATCCGATGGTATCATACCACATTCCAAACCTCAGTAGTGTTTAAAGCTCTTTATGTCTCCCTGTAAGGGATTTTTGGCGTTAAGAGTGCGTTTGTCAGTAATACACAGTAATACACAGGACGATGATAAACAAAGTTACAACTAATTAGCTTAAATATACACAAACAGCAGTCTCTATTTGGCACGAAAATAGAGGCTATTATAAATGTGTTTGGCGTGTAAATGTGTTCGAAATTTGTTCGTGGACATTAACCGCTCAGAGAGCACTCAAAAATCTTTCATTTCCTACAACAGTTTGGTCGCAAAATTTTAAATTTTAAACTAGTTTCCTTACTCAAAAGGATCAGATGAAAATAGGTATTCTGCTTTACAGAGAAAAAGTTTTTCATTGCCATTAGACGCGTGTTTCGATTGAGTTTTTAAACCAAAGTAATCACAAAAAAGTCGAAACAAAGGAAAAAGTCGAAACAAAGGAAAATATCACAAGCAGTTAGTGGCAAAGCAAATACAATCAAACTGCCTGAAACGCGGGAAAACGCGAGTGACCCAGTCGTCTTTGGTTTTAGTTTTGAGTAGCGCGGGTTTTCTCCACTAATGAAGCCAAACCAAAGCAATCCCGGATTACCCTTGACACTAAATTGAGAACTAAGCTAAAAAATATTTTATGTCACATTTTACTAATATTGAAGAGATTCGCCTGCCATCCTACGCTTTTGGTGTTAAACCTTCGACCACGCCCGTCCTTTCCTGTTTAATTTATAAACCTGGTGTCTGTTTATATACAAGCAAACTACTTTCTTAATATATTTAAAGCTGCTCTCCTCTAAACTTAACGAGTTAAGACATTTTGAATTATCTCCTTTTCTAAGCTTGTGATTCAATGTGAAAACAACGTTGCTCATCTTTAACTTAGTTATGGCATAAGGTTTGCGCCATCCTTCTCAATTTCTTCCCATTTTTCGTCAGATAAACCTGTGGAAAAATGGTTACGAGCATTATCATTTCTGAAAAACCTGTATTTGCTGATTACATGGCACACCTGTCAAGGAACGAGCGCGGGTAACTATCGTGTCCACGTCCGCTCAATAGAGCTGTCAGTGGAACACGGACTTTTTCCGCTGTAAACATGGGAGAAGTTTCTGGAGACCTAGATTAGCGTCTGCTTGATACGGGGCACGATGCGATTGCATTATTGTTGATGATTCTTACCGGAAAGTATCCTGAAGACGACAGCATATCCATGAATGTCGTCTTTGGTGAGAGCCCCCAGATCTAACGTATTCGCTCCCACGGAGCAGGAAAGATAGGCAGCAATTCTGAGAAACTCACAATCAGCTCGTGTTATTGGCTGCTTAATCAGAAACTTGGTCTGGTCATTTTTCAACGCGGTTTCAAACTATTGAAAAGAATTTCTAAATGTTAGCGATGATCAGGCTCCGTTTGTTCGAAGGGTGGATAACCCTATCGTTAGAGCAAATTTCTATCCGGTGCAGTAGCAACAGCAATAGCGCAGTACGTTTAGGTAACACTTATCTACTGTATAGCAATTTATCCATTGGATGGTGTTTTCCGCTCTTTGAACAACAAGGCTCAGATCAATAGTCGACCTAAGATTGTAGTTGACATAATAAATCGAAACGTTTGATCGACTTAATATATAAATAGCTCATTCAGGCAATCGTCTTTCCAAAGCCGCTGCTAGAAAACCATGAAACTTTTCGGTACACAGTTGTGTGTAGTCTATGTGGCGATGCCAGCATCAACCGGAAAACAAAGAGCAGTTTTTGGTAGCAAGCAGCCAGGCTGGTTTAAAGACAGAGAATTCAGGCGTCAGACACAAAAAAAAATCACAAGCAAAGAGCAAACGGACGAACAGAAAGACAATCCTTTTCAAAGGATCCCACTTACAATCTGATGGTACTCGTAAGGCAATTAAATACATTGAAATGAATGTATAAGGTCGACTTACCCAGATCAGGTACTTCTCTACAAGCGCTTTACACTCTTCTCTATTCTTTGTTGGTAGAAGCACTTTGGTAAGTATAAGATCAAGTTTCTTGATATCTTCTGGATTAAGTTCATCTGGTTGGAGAAAAATAGCGTCCTTGAAATTCTGTTACAGTCCACCGTGCTATGTCAGGTTTATCCCACTTAATGATAAAAATATGGTAAAAAAAATGGGATATGTTGTTTCTCAGATGAGTATGATCTCTACTCTGAGATCTTCCTATGAAACAACGGGGGGAACGCAAATATGAGTTGTTTTTTCAAAGATCGAGCCGTTTTGCGAAAATGGCCTTTTGGAAAAAACAGTTAAGCTGTGTAAGGGCTCAATTTCGTCCGATAACAACAGTTAAGATAAGTCTGTTTCTCGCAGAGTATAAAGATGATGCTTCAACATTTTACATGTAATTGGAGTTTCGCTAAGTAATTTAGCTCAAATGTCACCCAGTCTCGATGTCGAACTTGCCTTGAAGTCATCAGGCCCCTGATCTATATGTGAAAATGACAGAAATCTGTGTATCTAACACTCTTACCAGGTAAATCAGTCTGATCTTCTGAGTATATTTCCACGTAGGTACTATCATAATCCGGGTCTTCTTCGGTAGGATCGCCGCCGAACATGTCCCTGCAAACTGTTTTACCAACGTATTCTCCTTTCCGGATTTCCAGTCTGTTTTCATCCTTTAGGTAATCAACATGGCAACACTTGAAGAGGATCGGTGCAGCGGAGTTTCTGGATGCCACCTCTGGAGGAAGAAATGTGCTGAAGAAGCGAGCATGTACTTTTCCAGCTGGAATAAAATATCTGACGAAGGAATTCGCCGCTATTTGTGGCACTTCGCTATTGAATTCGGCCTCGGTCTGAAATAAGATCAACACATACATATCTTTCGATGAGTTGGCAAATTTGCTAAACACTCCGTCAGAAATTCAGCTGTTTGAAGTGTGCAGAAAGGGGTCATTTCTCCAATACCGATATTTACCTCTTGCTTTCTCTCTCCTTCAAGTTGAAATTTCTCGCTTGAAATCACAGATGTAATCAGAAACAGTTCATCGCTTTTAAATCCTTTCATTTTGTTGTGATCTAAAGGCGTATTTGCGAGTATTCCACGGAGATCTGGATCGTCAATGTATTTCTGGCTCAATCTACCCAGTTTTAGAACTCCTTGATCACCACTGATCTTAATGGTTCCCTCCAGATATCCTGAGACACCCATACTGTACGCCTTAGCACTAACGGGGTAAATAAAAAGCAAGAACTAGTAGCGGCTTATTCAATCAGTAATCGACATCTTCCGTTGGAGGTTTGACTAGCGTAATAACACCATGCGAATATTGGTGAACGTAAAAGTTTATTTGTGTGCTTTTCAAGTATTTCGAACAAAACACCAACAAATGACTAACGAGCAGAGGAACGAAGAGCAAAACCAGTGTTCACAAAATGAAGTCTCAATGGGGTGATGACTTTTACGGCTAACTGTTAAAATTTTGCCATTTTACAACCAACGGATACAATTTGTCCATTCTACGTCTAACGGTTGAACTTTAGGGCCCTTCTACGGCTAACAATTAACCCATTGATACTATCACAATGGCATGGATCAACCTCTCTATCAATGATTTACCTGTTACCCATATCGATGGTCGGTTTGGACTGAAACATTTCCTCTTTGACTTGAGATTCCAAGGAATCACGGAACACCTTAACTATTTCGTCATTTTCAACATATTTCGCCATTTCCGCAAGGACTATGATTTCATGTTTTCCGCGTGGTCGCTTCCATATTGGCCGAGACCTTTTTACAGCAAGCGCTAGTGGCTGTATTTTCTCAGATTCTCCATGAAGAATGGGATAGTATCTATGGCTAAAGTTCTCCTGAGCAAACTTTCGTAGTCCTTCTTCTAACATCTGGAAACAAATCAAATAAAATCATGTCTTACTTGCGATTTCTCTTTCCGTGAACCGTCTCTCTTCTTACTTGTTTAGTTTCTTATTTATGTTATATTTACATATATCAGGAACAAAAAGACCAGTCCAGCGAACGCCGAAGTTCTGTATACCTCGACATTAGTCACGTTTTCTTTGCAAAGTTATCCGTCGAACAGGAATGAGCGAAGTGTATTAATTTTGTTTCTTTCTGTGGGCCGAATCTCTAGAAAGCCAGAGTCACAACATTATTAATAGATTTGCAGCTGTGAAGATATAGAAAACAAAAGTTCGTCATCTCCTACTCTACTTCCTGATAACAATACTTCTGCCTCATTTGCCAAAGACTATACACGTGTCAGGAGCCAAATTTTCTGGTATGACGTACAAGTGGATAAAGCAGCACAACAAACGGCGTCACTAGTTGAAACTGAGAATGCTATTGATAGTTTTTTTATGGTATTCTTGTTCCGTATGTGCAACTAGTGTATTTCGTGCTACATTCTCACTCTGTGAAGGAAAATTGCGATCATTCCAACTCAAAGATTGAGGTACCAATAAATGTTTGTGCTAATTAATGCAGCGCATGCGCATCAAAATTATTTCATGTTGATTTTTTTAGAGTCCTCTTACATCCGTCGAAACTAAAATGTATCACCCCTATTTACTATTATATGTAGTTCTGGCATGTTTAGCGCGTGGTGAAGGAATTTCCAAAAATATCCCAGATGCACAGCAATTTAACGACATTGCTGACACATACTTCCGCAATAACATAATCCCGGCAACAATATCCGTATGCTCATTTCTCATTTCGATGATCTACTATCGGATCGATGCAATTACGTCTTCATCTTCATTTTCTCACACCGCAAACCACGAACGGCAAACTGGATTAAATGGAAATGAAAATACAACTTTTTCATTTTCGTCAGCGAACATTTTTCTCAAGAAGAACAACACTTACCTTCGAAAAATATGTTTCATTTAACGTGCGCAACAAACTATCAGTAGATTGATAAATAGATAAAACGCCAAACCATATAACTGACCAGGAAACGTATCTAAAGAGCGTAAACATGCAAACATGCAAGAACGGTAAAACCTTAACTAGGAAAAAAAGACAAACAATAAATGAAATAAATTTTGTGGACTGCAATGCTGGTAAAAGCAAATGTTATTTTCAGGCTTTGTCTCTGCATTTGCTTAAATCACAGTCCACCTACGAGGATCTTTTCTTTGCTTGATTTTTATGCGAAGGTCCAATGAAATTCATTTAATTTCAAGCTGTTTTCAAATTCCCCTGACTCGCTCCTCACGTGTGGTTTCGTAGCTCAGTTCGTAGTTACGGGAGGAACGGGTTGGAATACCTTCCAAAAAGGAAATGCGGACGAACACAAATGCAACAAAAGGTTAACAGCTTAACTGAGAGGGTAGGTTAACAGGAAATCGTGAGGAACAAAAGAAAGATATCGCCAAGATATCAGCGTATATGATTTGAATTCGAGACCTTTTGACGCCAATTCCAGCAAGCTTCAACAAACTCAGCACAGTTCAAATTCCTTCAACTTTCCTCTTTTTGTAAACACTACGGCTATAACCCTACTGAATGAGCCGAGTTTTTAACAAACCACGTTTGTCGTTGAAATATTGCGAATGATCTTAAAAATGGAAATTATTAGAATTTAAAATGAGAACAAATAGTTGCATAGTTGAAATCAAAATAATAGTTAATAAAATATGGGAAAAGAAAGAAAAACAACCTACCGTTTGCAACAAAATAGTTGTGTTCAATGTTGTTTTGATCTTAATGACACCAACGAAAGTTATGGTGCGTTAATTCATTCTTCCATGGCCTCCCGCTTCGTATATTTAAATCCGACAAGCTGTATTTATCTGACAACAAGACTAATTTCGGTTTCTTCAATGACGTTTGCTACCACAGGCCTCCCGATCGTGGAATTTGAGGCTTCTTGTTTTCTTTCTTGTTTTGTTTTGTTTTGTTTTTTGTTTGTTTGTTTTTTGCGATTTTTAAAATAAAATGTATTCATTTGCACTTTTGGTGATGTTTTTGAGAGAGAATCGATTTTCTCTTAACTAAATTGAGACAATTTCGCTTTTTTGGTATGCGCGGGTAACTTCATTCGTTCACAGATTCAAAATATTTTTCAGCTTAGCGACCACGACTTCGGCACTTGCGAGGGTGAGGGCTGATTCGTTGTGGAAGTCCGATGCGTATCGTATTCCCCAGAAACCATCAGAGCGTTTCTCTTTTATTAAACTTACGACATCCGTGAAAACTGGTCGTATGCCTTAGAATGGTAATATATTCGCTTGAACAGTCATCTTTGTCGTTTCTTTAAAATCAAATGAGCGGTCGAGTTTTTGGTCGTTTCGTTCAGATTTCAATGTAAGGTTGAAAAGTTGTTTTCACAGCTACCCGCACAAGAGTTCTTTTCAGAGGTATCTTTTCCTTGAATAAGTATTAGTTCGCTTTTGGGGAACTTATTAGCCTACTCGTGAAAAAAGCTGAAGTTTGATTTTCCAGTGTTTCACTTGGTTTTAAAACGAGAGGTATCTGGAAAGAAAAGTCGATGGAATTATATTTAAGTCCCCTGGAACGAAGGGAAAAGGGGGAGAAGTGGGGATTTCTAACTTAGATTGCTCTTAGATGGATTAATAAAAGGGGTAAGTCTCTAAGGAAACTGTAGTGCTGCGTCGGTGGGAGAGTAAAACAGGCTAGGGTAATTTAGCATTATCAACCGAGTTGATAACGTAAATCGGCCACCGTAAAGTGTTTAAAAGCTGAGGTTTCGAGCGTTAGCCCTTCGTCAAAGCCCTTCCCTAATCGCTCTGACGAAGGGCTAACGCTCGAAACGTCAGCTTTTAAACTCATTACAGAAGCCAATTTACGTTATCAACTCAATTGATAATACTAAACTACCCTGTTTTTAGATAGGGTGCGTATCTGGGAGGAGAGCCACCAAGAAGGGGAAGGAGAAGTTATTGAAAACAAACTGAAGGCCAAAGAACAGCTTGTCTCTAAAGCGGAGTGTTGACGGCAACCGCGGTAAAGAAGTCAGTAGGAGGCTCTCTTCAACTAACGAGGATTCCTTGCAGGATCAATAAGAACAAAGAAATAAATACGTTTGCCATTGAATAAATTTTTTTTTTTCGACATTCATGAATATTCATAAATTTCGTTGGCGGCACTGGTTTTCAGTCGTATCGCATGAATCTGTCAAAACGTCAGCGTACATGATCACTTTGGGGAAACCAGCTTCTGTTGACTATAGGGCAAAGCATGCTTCTCATTGATTGAAAGGTTTCAAGTAATGAGTGCGGTTAATTCTGGTGTCCGTGTCCACTCAATAGAGGTGTCCGCTGAACACACACTCATTTTACTGTGAATAGGGGGAGACATTTTTCGAGACTTTTGCTGACAGCACAATTGAAATTGTTTTATTGCCGACAAGGAGCTTGTGGACGACAACAGAACTGACTTCCCCTCCTCGCTAAAAATATTAAGTTCTTTAAAAAAAGTTTTGTCGTCAAACCCCAATTTTGAACTATTTTCGACTTACTCAAAAGGATCAAATAAAATCGGCATTCTACAGAACTGCTCGGTGAAACGGGTTTTCTTTTCAAATGAAGCACATTTCGATTGAGGTTCCTAGAACCAAAACCAAAGTGATCACATTAGTCACTCAAAAAAAAAAAAAAAGTCTTGAAAGGCCAATGAGGTCTTAATGAGCAAACTTACTGAAGCGCGGGAAAACGCAAGTGACCCAATTGCATTTCTCTTAATCTAGGACCAACTACTTAACGAAGTAAAGAAAAAAACGGAAAAACGGGACAATCCCGTAATTGTTTCGACATTCAGTTGAAAACTCTTCTAAAAGAGTGTATACCACAGTTTACCCATTTCAAAGAGATGGGCCTGCCGCCCGTTTATTCTTAAATACTTGGTGTCTTTATACTACCATGTTACTTCCTTTATCCGTTTAAATCTCATTTTCCTTGAGTCAAAACTTTGCAGCGTAAATCACTTAATAAGCTTCTGATTCAATGTAAAACATGCAAAAGCAACATTGCTCAATTTTAAGTGAGTCATGGGTCAAGGTTTTGCGCCATCCTTCTCAATTGCTTCCCACGTTTCGTCCGATAAACCTGTGGAAAAAGTTAGCGTTCGTGATCACTTCTAAAAAAAAACCTACATTAGTTGATTATGTGGTTGATACACTATGTTACAGTCAATGATAAAAAAGTTTCAAGTGACTAGCGCAGTTAATAGGGGTGTCCGCAGCTGTCTGCAGAACAAAGACTCGTTTTGTTGTAAACATGGCAAAAATGTTTCGAGACTTGGATTAAGGTTTACATACTAACGGGCATGGTAAAATTGCACCATTACTGGTAGTTCAAGTGAAACTGTTCTCTTACCGAAAAGGTTCCCGAGGACAACAGCATATCCATGAATGTCGTCTTCGGTGAGAGCCTCTAGATCCAACGTATTCGTTTCCTCATCACAGGAAATATTGGCAATTCTGAGAAACTCCCTGTCACCTGGAATTATTGGTTCCGGAACCAGAAACCTGTTTTGACCTGTTTTTAAAGCTGTTTCAAACTAATGACCAAAAAACGAGAGAAAATCAATATTCTTTTGCCAACAAGTCTAAATGTTAGCAATGATCAGATCAACTGTCAATGTAGGAGTGTAAGTGATATAAAAACTCGAAACTTTTGATCGCCTTGATTATGAATATATTATTTAGCGAATCGTCTCTTTAGAGTGATTGTCCGTAAATTCTGAAATTTTTTCGATAAACTTTTATGTAGTTATATATTCTTTATGGCAATGGGAGCATCGATCGAGAACCGAAAAAAAGGTTACCAAAATCGACAGACAGACGCAAGCAGGTAGCCAGGCTTGTTTGCAGAGAGAGACTTCAAGGCATCAGAAACAGAGCGAAAAGAGAATCACAGATAAAGAGTAGACAGACCAACAGAGAGAAAGCCAGACGAAACAGGACATGCGATCGACTTCAAACGATCCTTCATTCAATTTAATGGCTATTCGCAAGGCGACTCGGTGTATTGAAACCTTATGCCTAAGGTCAACTTACCCAATACAGATACTTCTTAACGAGTGCCTTACGCTGTTCTCTATCTTTGATTGGTAGAAGCACTTTGTTTAGTATAGGGTCAAGTCTCTTGAAATCTTCTGTACTAAGAGGATCTGGTGGAGGAAAAATGGCATTCCTGAAATTCGGTCACACTACACCGTGCTACGTTAGGATTTTTTTGCTCAATGTGAAAAAAACGCAGTGACGGTGGAAACTTTTACTTTCTCAGACGAGCACGACTTATGGTTCAAAATCTTCCTATAGAACAATGAAACAGTGGGAAAGCAAACTTGCGTAATGTTTAACAGGAAGAAACAATATTCTTTAATACCATAAAACGAACCCTACGGCAAAAAAAAGTACAGACACGTTAGCAGTTCAACATTTCAGTAGTGTAAGAGCTCAGTTTCGTCCAATAAAAACAGTTCAGCGATGTCTTTAGCTCTAAAAGTACAAAATGCTTCACAAAGAATGTATTTCTATACCATTTAACTCAAAACTTGATCTTAAATCTTTTCCTCTTTGTCGACTGGGAACTCGCCTTAGAGTCGTTAAGTCCCAGATCTATTTTTAAAAATGACAGCAGCCCTATTATCAACCAGTCTTACCTGCTAGGTTAGTCTCATCTGAGTATATTTCCACGTAGGTGCTATCATAATCCAGGTCCTCTTTGGCAGAATAGCCGCCAAACACGTCCTTGGTAACTGTTTTACCAACATATTCTCCTTTCCGGATTTCCAGTCTGTTTTCATCCTTTAGGTAATCAACATGGCAACACTTGAAGAGGATCGGCGCTGCGGAGGTTCTGGATGCCATCTCTGGAGGAAAAAATGAGCTGAAGTAGCGAGAATGCACTTTTCTGCGTGGAAAAAAATAGCTGGAGATGGGACTCGCCGTTTGCGAAGGCAATTCACCATTAACTTCAGTCTCGATCTGCAATAAAATGTCCCTTTCGATGAGTAAGTGCATCACTTCGTCTGAAATTTAGCAATTTGGGTTGTGAGGGAAGGATAATTTCTCAAAATAAAGTGTTTTCTCGGATGGAAGCTCTCTCAACTCGGGGTAGAACCAACGTCTTCATCTCGTAAAACTCTCAGTCACTATAATCAACCGAGGACCGTCTTTACTTGCTGCATAAATCCTGAGTATCTGGTAATTATTTGAGAGTAGGAAGATTTTTTACCTTGTAGCGAAATAAAGCCTTTTGACTTTTCCTTTTTTCTAAAAAATACGGGGATGGAGGAGTAGGGCCTAGGATCTCCACAGCGACAAACTGCTGCTTGAAATTGATTGACGGGGAAAATGTTTGTTGTCAATATCATGCATGCATTATTTGGACATGAATTGACCTCATTTTCAAAGCAAAATGGTAGTTAACGGAAAGGTTGCAGCCCTTTTTAGCATCCTTTTTTTTTTTATCAAATACTGATAGATACCTTTTCGTTTCTCTCTCCTTCAAGTTGAAATTTCTCGCTGGAAATTACAGACGTTACTAAAAACAGTTCATTCCCTTCAAAGCCTTTCATTTTGTTGTAATCTAAAGGTGTCTTTGCAAGTATTCCACGGAGATCTGGGTCGTCAATGTATTTCTGGCTCAGTGCACCCAGTTTTAGAATTTTTTGATCACCACTGATCTTGATGGTTGCATGCAGATATCCTGAAACACTTGTACTGCACTCCTGAGCTCTACTGGGATAAATGAAAAGTTAGATAGCGAATTTAAGTCTTACTCAATCTGTAGTTAAAATCGGCCTCAGAAGGTTTGACCGGAATGCCAATGTTGGAGAACATAACGCTGTAGAGCAAGTTTTTTAAGTATCTCGAACAGATACCAACAGAAAAACTAAATAGCAGAGGAACTTGGAGCAAAACCAGTGTTAGGTTTCTACATGACCTTTGAACCTCTCTATCGATGATTTACCTGTTACCCATATCAATGGTCGGTTTGGACTGAAACATTTCCTTTTTGACTTGAGATTCCAAGAAATCACGCAACACTTTAGCTTCTCTGTCACCTTGAACATATTTCGCCATTTCTGAAAGGACTATGATTTCATGTTTTGCGCGTGGTCGCTTCCATAATGACCGAGTCCTTTTTACAGCAAGCGTTAGTGGCTGTATTTTCTCAGACTCTCCATGAAGAATAGGATAGTATCTATGGCTAAAGTTCTCCTGAGCAAACTTTCGTAGTCTTTCTTCTAACATCTGGAAACAATGACATGAGTGTGGATCAAACTTCACAACAGACCGAGTGAGTATCTGGAAATGAGACTGCTATTAAAAGTCTTTATAGAATTCTTGTTCTGCACATGCGAATAGTGGAAGATCTTTCTCTAGAAGAACAACACTGAGCTCTAACAAATAAAATTCACCTAGATAACCTACGCATACAGGAATAATGAATATAATAGATTTATAGATTAATACAGCACCAAACTATTAATGTATTAATCATCCAATGTGTATGTGTAACCAAAGAAATGAACACAAGCAAAAATAAATAAAAGAATTTAAATCCTAACAGTGAAGAGAAAGACCACTTGGCTATCTGCGAAAAACGCACAAAAAATCTTGAAACTTCAAATTGACAAACAAGGAAAAATTCGCCAAGAATCAGCGTAAACGACTTGAATTCGAGACCCCTGGTTATAATTCCGGCAAATTTGCCATGAATTCAGCGTAGTACAGTTGAAATTCTTTCTAGTTTTCTAAGCGCTATGACCGTACTGAATACACCGAGAACTTTGACGCTCCAGGAACTTTAATACATCAATTTCGTCAAAAATATTATGAACGATATTGTAAATAGTCATCTATAGACTTTCAAATACTATAAAATAATTGGATAGCTGGAATCAGAGCAGTGTTTGTTCAAGTATGGAAAAGGAATAAAAACTACATACCGTCTGAAACAAAATCGTGTTGTTAAATATTGTTTTGATCCCAGCTGACAAAACCTTTAAGTTCTGATGCGTTAATTCACTCCAACATTGACTCTCACTTCACGTATTTAAATCGGACAAGCTGTACCGATATCATGGTATGATTAATTTCGGTTTCTTCAATGATGTACTTCATGATATTTGGGCAGGAAATGTTTTGGGATGGAGAACTCACCAGGGAGGGGGAGGGCAGGGGAATTTGTTCAAGACTAACTGAAGGCCAACGAGCAACTTGTCGGTTTTTTATCCCTATTTCACCCAGATTTGAGTATTATATGAATCTGGTTGAAAACTTTTGATATTTAAAACGAAAAAAGTGCAAACTCTCCAGTGAGGAGGGGCTCAGCAAAGAGGGAAGGTTATAACAGTGTTAACGGCAACCACGATAAGGACACCAATAGTTGGCGTTTTTAACGAGTGAAAATAAAAAAAAAACGTAGAAATAAGTACGTTCGACATAAAATTGTTTTATTTCTTGGTTCATACTTTTCGTTGCGCACTGGTTTTTGCAATTCTCTTCGGAGGGGATGTTTACGATTATGATAGACCATGTACAATATGTTAGAACGTGATTTATGAAAACTGGGTCGAGTGCCTGAAGTTAAGGCTCTTTGGCGAACTTCCCGGGAAAAATAAATGGAAAGACAAAGAAATTTTTCTGTGGAGTGTTAAAACAATTCAAGTTCAGCTTTTCTCGTCTTTTCATGCACATCGACCGGAAATGTTAAATCACGAGCGAGAAGTCGACTCCTCCATTTCTTCGTTAAGAATCTTTCGATCGACCAACTCAGCAACAAGAAAAGTCCGCAAGAGGGTTTCATTACTGTTACCATGAAGAAAATTAAGGCGAAGGATGAGGGCAGATGGAAAATAATTGTTGAATGACGTTGCTAAGTTCTCCAGTAGAGAAGCAAGGGAACTTTTTAAAGATTTCCTTTCATTGCCTATATACAAAATTCTGTTTACGGTTAAAACATGCTAAGCTTCCTGAAGGGCTGATGTTGTTCCCTCTGATTTGCATTAAGAAACAAAACGATTATGACTGTGACACCAAGGAAAATGATTGCTTAAAAAATCAACTCATTTATCTCGAAAAGTTTGCTAATGGCCTAATCATATTCTTAATCGGTGGCAGATCCCTCTTAAGCTTAATCTGTGACGAAAGCACGTAACTAGGATGCCAAATTGGAGCATAAAAAATTGCCACCGGGGTTTTACTCCACAGAAATTCTTGTACTTCAGCTATTCAAACTTTAAAACGCACTCTCTCGCTCTTTATTTTGTTTGTCCCCGTTCTTGTAGCTGACGCCGTTGTTTTCTGTCGAAAGTATTAATTTTAAGGAGAACGGCGAGTTAAATGGAAAAAACTTAAGATAATTATGAAGTTTAGAATAACGCAGTTAATTTCTACATGCTACCATCCTTAGTCCCCAAAGCTGCTTTTAGGCCAAAAACACAAAGTGACAGACTTAAAGTCAGGGAAACACCAATACTGATACAATTTACTTTATTTTTTTGAATTTATAGCTTATAGCAAACAAACTCTATGGTCTTAGTTACTTGGGTTACATGCTATGATTACAATTACTTGGAATCATCTAAGGGAAGAGAAAAGCTGTCCACATAAAAATCACCTTTCAAATAGACCAGTCATGCTCTCAATCGCTAATTCAATTTCAGATCTCGTTGAAAAACTTACAGAAGTAAATGGGCAGGTTAGAATAGCGCTTCGTTGTTCTTTTAAATTAGATACGAAGAGTTTATGAGGTTTATACTTTCAGCTTTCAAAACTTTACCTCTTGAAAGATCATAATCTACATTAATCTCTATTGATTTAAAAATTCTAGATCATGATATTAAATTTGAAATTATCTGACCACCAGACGTCTTTCTTCGGCTACTCAAACCCCTAGAATAGTTCTCTGTCACTTTAGAGAATTATCTAGAATGTAAGATGATGGTGGTCCCACACAGGGAATCTTGTAACGTGGACATGATCCTGAAAAATGTAGGAGGACTAACTTGATGTGCCGTGCGCATTAATCATTATGTGGCATGGGCGTGTTGCTGGGACGTGAGATAAGGACAGAATTTCGTGATTCCCACACATACCGCCATACACACAAAAATGCAGTGGGGAAATGTCCTTTGTAAATGTTGGAGGAACATGTCCTCCAATTTAGACAGCTAGGTATTCGCGATACTTTAGATGCGATGACTGCATTGCTTCAAAGAAGAGAAAATGGTGAGTCTTCCTGTTTAATCAATGGAAAAACCCAGTTGGCTGATCTCTCCGAAGATACTGGCCAGACATCATTGTATGTTAGCTAGAATCTTACGCTTATCCCATTTCAAAGAAGAAGGTAGGGAATAAAAGGAGAAGCAAATGAAAACACAGAGTAAATATGACCCACCACGGAAAACATGGGCACAATTTTTGCTATTACGCGTGTGTGAAGAATCTGCTCTTAATATTATGTCTCGCCTGATGTCCCAGCTAAACATCCCCGCCACTTGTAGCCTTCGTGTGTAGTTTACACGATTTTTCTCGGTTACTTAGCGCAGTGAAATTTCCTTGCGACATGTCCTCGCTATAAGGTCCACCACAAAACAAAGAAGCAAGATGCTGAACTGACGTTGGCAAGAATTAATTGTGACGGATGACAAATCACTAAATTAAAAAACAAATTGAAATACGTTTTTTTGACTTAGCTCCTCTAATCTCTGCCTCGTGGATTATTCAAACAATAGTATAAGAAACCAGAATTTTCTCTACTTGGATTTTCTCTCCTGACTTTATGATGCTGAATTCATGAAAGATAACTGCATCAATCGGTTCTTTTCTACAGAAATGCACTTTATAGAATTACACATGGGGGATTGAGTCTCTGAGGGAGTTAGAATGACACCATCAAGTCTTTAAGCCATCGATAGGGACTTTACACGAAGGCGATGACTAGAAAAAATTATTTATAAGTAGTAGGACAAGAAGCAGAACGATGAGCAGAACGCTGAGGGGTATTTTAATTTATTTTTGCTATCCAATGAAAATAGCAAAGTGATTGAACAATCAACTCCGTCGTTCTCAGAAAAAGGCTGTGGAATACAGGAATTTCTCGTTTCCCCAATTGGAAATGGAGCATTCTTAGTGCAGAAATTGCAAAAGTATTCTGCCGTCATGCAAAGAAGTAAAGGAATCTTGTTTATTTTAAAGTTCTCACGAAAAACAGAGATACTTTTCATGGACGAAGTCCTCGGCGAAGCCGTCGGTATTTCGTGGGATCCTATGGTATGGATAATCATTGTCGAATTTTGGACAAATCTCTTGCATACAATTGATTACTTATTATAACACGGGGAAAGCAGAACTTAAATCCAATAAATCCCAATTACTGCCCTTAAAGAAGATTCGTGGTCTTACTGTGAGTTCTTATTGGCTCGCTGCAGAATTTCCATTGTTCTAATTGGTCTATTTTGATGAGTTTGATTTTGGTCTCGCAACACTCAATCGCAAAGCGATCTTACGTGGACAACTTTTCACAAGTGGAAAATACTCAATGGTAAAGATTGAAGCGGAAATTGATATTAAAATTACTTCTTGCAAACGTGCTCAGCTCAAACCTTAATCGTTTAGATTAGAAAACTTCTATCCTAGTATCAGAAGTATATTGGCCATTGTTATCACAGTCGTGGTTAATCAGATTCTGCATTGCACTGCTCCAATTTTCTCCACTTTTCATCAGTCAAATCTGTTGGAAAAAGGAACACAAATGCTTTCAGAAAGAATAGCCATCGGCATTTTATTAATGAAAAGATTCAATGTTGTCGCAAGTCGTCGCAAGTCTCCTCGCTAGTGACAGCGTGTGGCGCGATAATTTTGCGGATTGCCCATGATCTGCACTTTTAATTCAGATTTTAAAAAAAGAATGCGCATGCATATCACGAGGAGTAATTTACATTCGTCTTATTTCAGTCACTCGAATGATCGATTTGCAACAATCTATACCGTGAAAGACAATTTTAAAACACAATTTGAGAGCACTGAATGTGGTAATCACTTGAACGTATACTCATATCATGGAAATGTTATATCAACTTATGATTTTAAATTAAAGTAAGATATTTGCATAATGGTGTTTTTCCTTTCACACGAGTTTTGGTGGGTAACAGTGACCTTCATAAAAGCAAAAACGACATGTTAGATCTCGCAGTCACCATAATGACATTTTAAACTTCACTTCAGAAATATATGAAAAGCATGACCGCTGCGAGTTGTGTGGATTCCATGTTTTGAAAAAGCAGATATTCTGATATTGGCATCTGTATCATGAAACCGTCAATTACCTAAAAGGTGTTTGAGGACAACAACGTATAAAATATATATATATATATATATATATATATATATATATGTCCGTCCGTTTTCAAAAACGTTGCAACTTGAAAATGTACATGAAATAAGTGAAACATGTGTTCTCATCAAAAACACTCTTTTTGTATTTAAATTTGTGTATATTTCATATGCATATTTATTTAATATATATATATATATATATATATACACACCCGATATATACCCGACAGAATAGACAAAACAGCCAACATTGACTATTCTATTTCATGGCGCGTCTTATCATCTAACTCTCCCTACAATAGCTCCAGTAAAAGAGGCAACCTCTGCCTAAAAGAAAAATTCCTGATAATTTACCAACCCGACCTCTCATCACTAAATAAGCGTAACGAACTCGTATCTTCATGCCGACACAGAAACAAAGCGTTGCTACGCAAGCAAGTTTTTAAGTTTACCGCATGTTTCTCCTAGTATATACACTATAGTCACATGAATATTCTTTCATTAAACCCCTGAAAGCGATTCACGAAACAGGCTTGTCGGGAAATGTAGTTGCGTCCTTTTTTCCTCTCATAATATCTACATATATATATATATATATATATACATAGATACACATATATACAATCAGTTAAAGAATTAAAGAGGAGCGTACTATAGCTGCATTCAAATTTCCTAACTCTTTGTTTTACCTTCGCACGAGTGTTTTCGCTGCCCATTTGTTTAGATGTATTATATAGATCAAGTTATCGAATTAGTTGAAAGTTAGTAAAGACAATTTTAACCCCCCCCCCCTAAAAAAAAATTATCAAATTAATTACGGTGAAAAAATGGGAGTACCATTTAACTGTGGTCAAGCAGACAAGGTTTCCAGCTAAATACGTGTGTATCATAGAGTATGAACCTATGATCTTTAATCACTTCTTGTTCGAAATAACTTGACGGTGAAAGCATAGTGAACAACGCAGTTACTTGGAAATTTCACGAAGGCTTTGTTGCATATTTCAGTAATAATAATAACAAAACAACAATTTAAGAAAAGCGGAATTCAGGGATAAATTCTTCCAGATGCACGCACCGAACAGTTTTACTCAAAGTCTTACCGTTGTACACTAGAAATGGACAAATTGCACTATTGTTATAGCCATTTCTCGATGAGATAGTATTCACACCGTAGAACCTACTCTTTCACAGTTATGTTTACTATTGATGTGGAGGTTGTTTAATTCAAACGTGAACGATGTCTTAGACTAACTTACCCAACGAAGATACTTTCCAATCTGCTCCTTGCGTTTGTCTATGTTCTTCACAGGTAGAAGAACATTTTGAAGCATCGAGTCCAGTTTCTTGACATCTTGCGGAGTGAGAGGGGCTGATTGATTGAAAAGAAGGAAACTTAGGTGCCGGTTATACCCAACCGATTCCTGTTAGCTATATTTCTCCGCTCAGTTCTGAAACCGCGATAATCTTGTAGTTAGTGTGTAATGCCGACTTGCATCATTATTCACCGGCTCCGTAAACTTTGTGAAATAGTTTGACACAGGCAGCTCATTTTAAAGCAGCAAACTTCGGACAAGTTTTAGCGAGTATGGGTCGGTAAAATTCCGGCAGATGTAGACAAGTAGTTCTATAGTTAATGTAAGCATGTATCTACAATAAAAGTCCCTCAATTCCACGCATTGTTTCCAGAACAAAAATGTAGCCTTACTGACTTTTGAATTCTCTTTATCCTAGTGGTGTGGAGGCTCGGAAGCCAGACAGGAAATGGTTGAGTGAAAAGAAGTAGCACTTAGTTAGACATTGATCAATTTGAAACTCTCAGATTCTTTTTTATTTTAAATAATGTATTGACATTAAGTCTACCACTAACACTATTCCAAATATACGGTCGAAGAAAATGCAACTTTTTGAAAACTGTGTCCAAATCGGCTGAATGTTGCAGCAGATCGGGGACAGTTATCATTTGATCTGTTCTCCAGTGTATACAAAAATTTATTGCTGCATTTTCAGAGTTTAAATACCGTTTTCAAGTTATGTGGCATAAAAAAGTACCTGAAGATCTCACCTGGTGCATCGGTCTCGTCTGAGAAAATTTCCACCATAGTGTTGTCATAATCTTCGTCATCACGCTTTACAAGACCCTCGGCTGCTGTGTCCCTCGTAACTACTTTACCAACGTATTCCCCTTTCCTGATTTCCAGTCGATTTTCTTCTTTTATGTAATCAACAGTGCAACACTTGAAGAGGAGTGGTGCATGTGCGGTCCTAGATGCCAGCTCTGAATGCTGAGTTAAGCTGCTGTAGCGGGCATGCATTTTGGTTGCCGTGGTCTTAAAAAAATTGACAAACGGACTTGCCACAGGCACCCCATCCACATTGACTTCAGCCTCGGTCTGATACAAGGTAAATAAATAAGATAGTTTTATGATAAGTAGGCAAATTTCTATGTTTCTTTCTCAGAAATTCGGTCAGACAGCAGCGAGGCAGGGTAAATCAACTAAATATTTCCAGAACTGGGGATCGGAAGCTTTTTCCACGCGTAAACACAGAACCCTGCCCTGTGAATCTTCGTTTTTCTGCATATACGTGTGATTCCAATTGGTCTTCAATATTGGAACAACGTAACATTTGTCATCTCGTTTCTAGTTATTGCTGAGTGGTGATCACATACTAAAATGTAATCTCTGTAACATTTAGTTTTGATGTAGGGTTGTTGGGTTCGGGTGCGTAAGTTAGCGTTATGTAATAATATCTAAAAGTATCTTAAAGAATACCAGTGCCAATCACTGAATCGCAGACGACGGAAAAATCCTCTAGTAGGTCATTTCATGAGTTTCAAATACTGTTACATTCGTATGAAAGTCCAGCTAGTTCTAAATGAAGTCGGCCTATTTATTTAATGAACTTTCCGTTTCTAATCCTATGGTTCACTCGAAGTAAAGAAGGGTTTTAAAAAAACTAAGTTCGTTAATGTTTACCATCCCCGCTAAAACCAGTTTGAGAAGATTTCTTGATCTTGGGAGCCTAATCAAACAAGCTTGAGCCTTAAAGGAAAGTGATGGAAATGGTAAGGGCGGAGAGGTGAAACCTTAATTACAGTTGAACTCCTTTGTTTGTTTTGTTTATCGAGTTAAAGAAAAGTGGCCATTACCTCTTCTTTTCTCTGCCCTGTTAATTCAAACTTCTCACTGTAAACCACAGAAGTGATAAGAAGCAGTTTATCCCCTTCGGCGAAACTCTTCATCAAGGTAGGATCCATTGCGGTCTTTGCTAAAAGGCCACGGAGATCTGGATCATCGATATATTTCTGGCTAAGTTTTCCCAGTTTTAGAACTCCTTGATCATTACTTAATCTGATGTTTCCCTCCAAAATTCCTCCAACACCCACACCAAGGCTTTGTTCTCTAGATTAAAAAAAATATATACAAATTTCTACATAACTCAAAATGATATGAAATAATGATAACAAATTAAGCTATATGGCTAGCTATGTCAGCGGGAAATAAAGAGGAAGTGTGTTTCCCTCGTTCAGAAAATGATACAACAGCTCCTTTACTGACAGACATAGAGAGAGTGACTTCCACACGACCATTGCAATGGAAACGAAAACGGCAAGAACAGTGACAGAGACAAAGAGGATGACAATGACATTGACAATCACATGCAATGTCAAAGACATGAAAACGACGATGTCAATAACAGAGGGACAAAGGCAATGACTGATGATAAAGAAAATAACATTGATCGAGACAATAGCATTGTCAATGACAATAATGAGGATAAAAAAATTTTTTTTCGTCTTGTCACGAGCGTGTGACAAAGAAAAAATTCTGAGTCCCCGCTCGGAATCGAACCTCAGACCCTCGGATTTCGCGCGCCGATACTTTACCACTGAGCCACAGAGCGGTGAGCGAGTTCTGTTACAAAGTTCATATGACACGCGTCCTAAATACTGCTAGGATCAGCAATATCGATAACGTAATGTTTGTAGATAGAAAATAAGAGAGATGGTAAATTTTTGAGGATGGCAACAATAACAATGAAAGTGCATGAAAATGAGAATGATGATGACGAAGATAACTACATTTACTAAGACAATGGCAATAACAATAACGCGGCATTGATAATGACAATGATGATGACGATGACAATCAAAACCGACGGTGACAACGAAAATGTCGACGATAGCAATGAAAAAGACGGTGAAAGTAACGACCACACCGAAAACGACAATGATGATGACGATCACAATGATAAAGACAGCGACAGTGATAATTATGTGGACGATGAAAATGTTATGACATTTTCAATTGCGAAGACGAATGTAAACGATGAAAGTAGCATTGAGAGTGATGAGGACGATAACAATAGCAATGATCATTATGATGACATCAATGACAGGGGTGATGCCGATGTGGATGACGTCGACTGGAATCCCCATTTATATCATTTGAAATGTGACGCACATTTCCAAAATTATGTTCAGAACGTCTATGAACAGCTTCCTTAATAGATTGTTTTTTCGGATATGAATGAACAGTGTGGTCAATTTTCATCTCGTAAGTGCTTATTTTTAAATGTTCGAGTTAATTTTATTTTTTTTAACTTTTGATGTGTGTTTTCATCTAAATAAAGACCAATTGTTATCATCACTATTAGAAGAATGACTGAAGGCGTTCGAAGAATGCACCTTTGAGAAACCTCCCGTGAATGTTAAAAAACAACACGGCACCGGGAGCTTTACCTCACTTGCTTCAACTCGTCGTCCGGTAAAAACAGTTTTGAAGGCAGCGAGAAAGGCAGGACTAATTACAAAAAATTGCGGTTTACTTTCGTGATGTTCTTGCCAGTATTTTTTCTTATTTATTTATTTTTTTAAACATACTTTGTTAAGATGCAACACGTTGATGTGCCATGCACGAAAAAATTGGGTTAAAGCGTGATCATACCTGGATCCCATGGCAATTGTTTCGTGCGGCGATGAGATAAGCATTTCCTCTTTGATCTTACATTTCGCGTAATCACGAAACACTTTAGTATCTTCTTCACTTTTAACATATTTCGCCAGTTCTGCAAGGACTATGACTTCCAATTTTACGAAAGGTCGCTTCCATAGAGGCCGATTCTTTTGTACCACCATTGTCAGGGGTTGTACCTTATCGATTTCGCCGTGAAGTGCGGGGAAGTATCTATGACTGAAATTTTCCGCGGCAAACTTTCTTAGTGACTCTTCCATGATCTGAAAACAAATCGGAAGTAAATCGATAGTCAATTCACAATGCATTAAAAATTATTCGGGTCAAACCCACTGTAGTAACTGTCATTACATTAATATCATAGGGACCCATCAGAGACTTTCAATGCAACCTCTAATGTAGACCAATCAGGTTTTACTCTTCCTGAATAAGATGTTAGCCTATGGCAGGTTACCCCTGCCTTCGTCTCTTTGTTGAATTTTTTAAAATAAACTTTTACAGGAAGAGTGTTGAAAAAATTTCGATTCATTATCCAATTGATAAAAACCCTTAAGTTAGCTACATTTCTAAAGTTCATTTACACTCCTAAGTGGGAAGAGGCATTTTGTCAGTAATGCATCTTAGAAAGAAACGAACACAATGACCTGGCCAAGGTTCGGATCTACAGCTTTTGAATCGGATCCCAGGGCTTGACTGGATCGAGGGGGTGGGGGAGGGGAGTAAATCTGCAAATGTCCGTGATCAGTCAGAATTTTCGCCATTTGATAGTTTCAGATTTTTTAAAACATTTGAGCTTTCCCAACAGAACATACTATATAGCACATGTTTTTTATCGCTTTTGATATCAGTTTTAGTATGGCTTTGCTGACAAGGTATTTTGACGTATAATTAGTTGTCATTTCTTAAATCGGCTGAGAATCCCTAATATCACCGGCAGATGATTCTGTGTCTCGCACATCATAATATTTTGCGTTGAATATAATGCCTTTTAAGATATTTTTTTGAATGTTACTATCGCCGGATTTTTCAAGATGTTTATCCAACTTTTTCAAATAAGGAAAAAAAAGGAGAGAGGGTATGTTTTACTTCACGACGAGTGTGTCTCTATGCTCACCGCTATTGATGCATGACTTCAGACATCATCATCTAAAAATGGACCCCGCAGTAACGGGAAAAAGCATCACAAAATACAGCTGCATTTTGAGTTACTGTAACTCAAAACGCAGCGGGCTAAGACAGGCGGAATACACTGAAATAATAACACGTAAAAAGTCCACAACAACCAATTAGAACTAGGGTGATCATCTCAATTTAATGCACACCAAGAATACGTAGTTGGAACAGATCGAAATCAAACGTCACCTCTTTCATTTTCTTCGATAAAGGAAACAAAATATTAAAAACAAAACAAAACATAAAAAAACCGCAAATAGTGCCAACACAGAACGATTGTTCTGGAATCAGATAAGTTCAAATCCTCACATTGGAAAAAGGCTCATCTTTGATTCGAAAACAGTCCTCGCAAAAAAGAATTCTTAGTCTATCGTAACGAACATAACGACTTCCATATCATATTGTTGATCCTAACGGCACACAGAATGTTCATCACGTAAGAACCTACACTTTATAATATGACGTTTAGCTTGAAAATGAATTCGCTGTTGCTCATTTGGTAGACTTTCCGACCCGGAAACCAGAGTTGATCAGAATTCTAATCCTTGCGGAGCACTCGCATTTTCTTACTAGCACTCTATATATCGATAAAATTCTTCATCGCGGGACCCTTTATAAGCGACTAACGTCAGAAAAATGTCAGACGGAAACGAACCCTCACTGGCCTTTAGAAATGTAGTCATGGAATTTTTTGTACCACCTCGTTACATTCATAGTTAAAGCTGTTGGCTCTTAGGCAGGGATATGGTTTGATTCTCCTTAAAAAACTCCTTAGTTGCATATTATGGCAAACTATGATGATAATGTTCAAATTCAACACCTACCTTTTTAAGTAGGAATGTTCAATTTTTTTCTGGATGGCTCCAGCTCAGGTTATCGTGAGTAAACTCATGACTCAATGAAGATATTAGTTTAGGAAAAAAAATACGGGCTATATACACATGATCATCTGACAATCTTTATTTCGGTTTCCTTCGAATCACGTCGGCTAATGGTTTTAGATTCTAATAATATAACAAAGCTGATTTTGAGATACCAAAAGAAAGTTTTCATCACCCCTTTGATATAATTTTCGTGGCGATTACGTTATTGCACGTCGAATTGTACGGCAGTTTTGTTTTGTTTCAAGCTAAGTACCTGATGTAATCACGCCGGCAAAAAACAGAGGTTAATACTATTTAAACCAAGAAAAAAACTGAAACAGAAAAAAATCATTATCCAATGATGTTGGGTGTTTTTTCCATGCGTCGAGGTGTTTGACGGATATATTTTTAGATATACGTTTCTGACGCTCCGCTAAAACCTTTCGAAACTTTTTACAACTTCCGAATGAATTAAAACCGCCGGAAAAATTAGAACTACTACCGGAAGAGTTACAACGTACAAATCACCATAGCAATGTTATGAAATCAGAGATGTCAGACCTTACGAGAGAGATACAGAATCATGTTTCCTTTTCATGGGAATAATTGGGTTGAAAAAAAAAACAACTACACCAGGAAGTATTTTCAAATATATAGCATATTAGCGTAGTTTACAGGGCTGCTATTTCAATCTGATGATTGCATCTATCAAAACTGATCACTTCAGGAAGAGAAGGAAAAGTTAATCTCGTCGCAAACTGGAACAAAATTGATTAAACAAAAATTCTCACATCTTTTAAGGAGTACGTGTTTCCCCTCTTAAAGGAATAACAAAATCAGAACGTAAATGGCAGTTGAAATATTAAGTGACGACCTGTTCTGAGGCAGCCAAAAGCATTAATCAACTTATTTAGCCTCGAAGTTGTTTTGTTTCCTAATTTCTAAAGCACGAGGTATGTAGGAGATAACTTCCATTAGGTCTTTGGGTTTTGTAACAGGTCGATAGATCGCCGATACCCATTTATACTGATGGGTGAAGATAGCCGAATAAGAGAGTTCTTCGCAGTCTAACTATTATAGAATATCTTTCATCAGTATATACCACTCAGGTGAATAATGTTTTCGCACGCGCTCACGCTCCATTCACCTCCGAGCAGCCGAAGAGACAAAATCGCATGTCAAGAGTTCAAATTTCGACGCATTTTCGGTCAGTGTTGGAGAAAGTGGTGGATAAATGTGAAAGTGGTGGATGAAGTGATTAATTCACCGAGCCGCTTTGCGGCTCGGTAAGTGTCCACCACTATTCATTTCCACTCAGGTGAATAAATGTTGATTAACGACACAGGTTGAGGATACTGATCTAGTTTCTTCTCAACTGGCTTAAACTAGTAAGCTGCGAATGACATTTTCCCCTATAATACTGTCAAACACCCTCGCATTCCACCTCTATCTTTAAATTTGTCTTATATCTCGGCGAAGCTGTGTAGCCGAAGTTAGGGAAAATTGGGGTGTAAACATCAAATTCAGTTTTGGTAGCATACTTCTTTTTATGAAAATTAAACGCAATAGATTCGGCAAGATGTTACATAATTTAATTTTGGTGCAAACTTTTAATTAGCTGCGATGTACAATGTTATCTAGAGAAAAGCATTTATTTGCTCGTATTTTTTTTCGCAAGAAAGTCCTTCAAAAGTTACTCTGAAAAAAAAGAAACGAATGATGGTTACGGTGAGAAGAAACATTTTTGGGTGATTTAATTATTTCAACATCTGTGTCTCTAACGTGCTGTTTAACCCTTTTACTCTCAGAAGTAATTAACGTGTAACTTCTCCCTCTAACATTCATGCATTATCCAGCAAACGAGTGATGAGAATACTCAAACTTTATCAAACAAATCAAATAAATTAAATAAATCAACTGCCATATACTCTAAGTCAAAAGTTGTGTTGCATGTATGAAATAGTGTGCCCCTTCGAAAATCCACCTTTTTGTTAACTTTGTTAGTTTTTTTTTCTCTTTTCCAACTTAATCCACTCTGGAATAGCTTCTTCAGTTGAATCAAACAAGGTAGGGTTTGAGACCTGTTTCGGTCTGATTCAGGACCATGTACTAAAGAGATCAATGGATCAAGATACATTGTAGAACTTCTATTAAACTGAAAGAGTAGGTCTATGTTGGTTGGAGCGTAGTTTGCACTACTCCTAATTAAGCTGAAAACAACACAAGATAGTTTCTGTAATCAGTTTGTGGTGTGTTATCAATCCAGGATTGGTATTCGATGCTAAGCGTGGGTCTAAATCTCACAAAGCGTTGGTGAGGTTGGACAACCTTGAAAAGGTCTCTTAGCTTGCCAGATGACTCTTTAAATTGATTCTCCTTCTCTTCCAAGCCCCCGTCCTTCCACAAACAACAACAATTATTAAAACAAAGACACACTTGGTAGCAAATAACATTAATTTAATGTTGTCTCTGAGGTGTATTTTATTTCCCCTCTACAATGTCACTTGATTGCTATAAATAATGCACAAAATGAAGTGCTTGAGTGTTAGAGAGAACTAAGCAGCACATCCTACTCTAGACCTGATAACCTTGATTCTGCAGTTTTTATGTCTTCAAAAACCAAGTCCATTCTTTCAAACGTATCCACCACAAGGGCATAAGTCTGATGAAACACACAACATACAAGACATTAAAAAAATTTTAAAATTTATCTAATACAAGTAAAAATAATTTGAAACAAAAAAAGGGCTGGAATTCACACCCATTGCACGAAAACCTTTAAATGAGGATCACTGCATGCCTTTCATTGCCATGATTCTATTTCACTGTACTTGTTGAAAGACTATCAAGAACTAGATTTGCTAAAATGAATATGGCTTGTGACAAACTACTCCTAGTAACAGGTAAATTTGTTGTTTCTTTCATTCATTGGCGGGTTTAAACCAAGAGAACTCTGAACTGTAGCACAAGTAATCAATATATTTAACAACAAGTACAACCAATCTTCAAACCTGCGTAAAAAGTTTCTCCTTGTACTTTGCTTCTAAGACGGGGTCGACAGTATTTTCAATTGTTAATCCCTCCACACTGACTGGGGTCTGAAACACGTGAAAAATAAATCAAAATCCATGTCTCAGTACATCATATACCACAAACTTTATTTTCAATTTTCATTCAACTTCTGTGGAATTTCCAGAAGATTATCATCCTCTGAATAAGCTGTCACTAAAGTGACATGTCGCCCGATATAGACAAGCAGTTTAGCAGTCGAAATGTTGTTTGTCACAACAATCGATAGTCTGACTCAACAACGTGAGACAAATGATTAGACGTTGATTTAACTATATAATCATAATGAACATAGCTGCATGTTATGTGCTTTTCTGAGCAATTTAAAAACTGAACAGCTGTATTTTTATTCTCAGGTAAATAACATGTAACTTATCAACTGACTTTGACAAATATCCCATTAACCAACTGATCACAGGAAAGAGATTAACAATACATGAAATGTTTTTTGGAGGATTATTTGAACATTCAAGGAAAGTTTAGTGGTTTTCCATGATTCTATGGAAAGAAAACAAACTATTTTAAATTGCAATAAATGCAACCTAGACAATTTATAGTACTGAAAGAGCTTAAAAACAAAACAGTAAACTAAATATGAAAATTATTTCGATCTAAAATATTAACTTTTTTTTCTGAGAAAACTACTTTAATTCCTAGGATTAAGTTGCAAAGGAATTTAAATTGCCAAATTGTTTAACAAAAAAAATAAAGGAGGACTTTCTCATCAAATTGTTAGATATTTCTGAACCAATAAGAAATTTCTCACCCCAGTCCTTTCTGCGGCAGCTTCACTGAGAGCTGATTTGGACTGTGATGATGGTGTGCTAGTACCTATCAAGGGAAAGAGTTGAGATGAAAACTGTTCTGAAGACATATTGCACTCGTGTTGCATGAAGAGTTCCATTGTTTATACCTTATATGATTGTAATTCAGTACAACTAATTAATGGAAAAATACTGTAGGCTTCAGCCTAAGCATGTTTCTTTTTTTTTTCTTTTTAATTGAATTATCACAATTTAATAAATTAAATATTGTCACCTCTTCCTGATTTTTTGGCTGATAACTTGGAGCGTTGGGTGGAAGTTGGACGATCCTTGCAATTATGCAACACAAAAAACAAATATAACTTGGATAAAGCTTAAACCCCCAAAAAATGTGATATAACTGTTTTAGATAATATGGTATCTTACATATCTCGATGGATTTCAAACTATGGCATACGACAATTTCAGGGTCTATGGGTTCACAAGGGCTTAAACACAGCTAGGTTCCTAGGATGCATTTTTATATTTTCCTTCCTCACAGTTAACATACAGTGTAGTCTTACAAAATGCAGTACACATTTTCTAAATAAATTTCACTAGCACTTTAAGTGCGGATTGTGTGCATTCTTTTGGTAACAAGTACACACGACACTACTAACAAACATGCCAAGATCCATTTTGAAATGATAATCTTCATGTTCATGATTTTCTTCACTCTGAAATATTTATGGCAACTGTTACAACAAAACTTAACACCAACAGTACAATTACATCAATTTCAAAATTCCTTCTCTAAATTTGAGTTTTTTGTTTGTCTGGCCCAGTGGCAAAAAGTTAACTAGAGAGACTGGATACAATACACTGAATACTGAGTGATTTGTTAAGTCTGTTGGATTTCCAATTTTTTAAATCAGGCCTAGTAAAATCATCATTGACGACAAGGGTTCTCTGTAATTATGACATAGCTCCTGAACTACAGTACTGGACAAAATCTAAACTCACAATTTCAGAAAGCTTTCCTCCTCTCTTGTCTTTTTTATCTCCTTTTCGACTTTCAGCAGCTTTTGTATCAGAAATTGTTCCTTTGCGCAGTCTTTTGTCCGCTAATTAAAAACAAAAAAGCTGAATAAACTGAGATTTCACAAATACTGTTGTTAACGCTAACTCACCAGTAGTAATCCTGACTGATCAGGATGTAAGAGACTCAAGAACACTGATCATGATTACAGCTAGGCTTCTAACCTTCCTCTTGTGAAGTATCCTCCACAAGCTCTCTCTCGGGAAGACCAAGAATGGATCGTATCATGTTTGCCTGTCCAACAATACTGTCCACCATCTCACAAAGTAATTGATATCTAAATACAGTTTTAAGATAAGTAAATACTGGGAATGGTATGGCTTTACTCTTCAAATTAAGTAACTTCAGACATGTAGTTCTTTGAAATAGGGAATATTTTGAACATAACCGAAAAGAAGTAGCCAAATTAGAAAGGAATATAATGCAGAATGCATTGAATGTACCGGAAAAGGCAACAATAAAAGGTTATATATATATTGAAAAAAGTAATTCCTTGCAGCCAATTTCAGTTGAATTAGAGGTCAAAAGGAAAAAAAAACTAGCAGCAGCCTACATTTATAAATTACCCATTCATTTTCTATAATTTATTACACTAAAGGGGTATGAATCATCTATAACTTGATTTTGTACTTTTGTCTATATCATAGTAAGTGACTTAAAGTGAATAAATTTATGTTACTGGTTAATTAATACTAAAAATGTGTATTTAAGTGAAAGCATATTTTCTAATTTAAGTGAATGCATATTTAATTCATATCTAAATGATAAATACTAATTTCAAAAATAACCCCAGCTTGCTCTTGGTTGTTTTCTATGCATGATATACTCTTCTCTGTTAACAATCATGCTGTGATTAAATCTTTGAGTGGTCCCTAGTTTGCCCTCAATCTGTTGATTTTTTGGTACAGTAAATAACTCACCCTGCAGCATACATGGCTTGTTTAATAGGAGTCATTGGTGGGAATGATAAGGTTGATACAGAGCTATTGAGTGTCTGGAGCAGGCTATCACGTTGATCAGCATCTTCAATGCACATGATTTTCTACAAAAAATGAAAACAGTTAAAAATAAATTGGAAAGGGAATACATGATTTAGTTATCAAGAACTGTCTTCTTGACTGACTCAGTGACACACACTGCTGTTGCCTTGTGCCACATTTTTTGTTTTTGCCCCTTTTTGATGTCATCTGTGATCTATATCAGAACAAAAGTATGGCAACATTTGTATAAAATTATACATATAGAATCTCTTTGTTAAATACACCATGTAAGAATGACTTATTATACCAAAAGTGTTACCTGTTGAAGGGACTCTATAGACAAGTCCCACTCTTCATTGTCTCCAAGCTGTGCATAAATCTGCTTCAATTCCCCAACAACCTCATCCTGGAAATGCATCTGTGAAAACACAAAAAAACCATTGATATTGAGATTTTTAATCCTTCAGTCAACCACCTGTGATTTTGGAGAAGATTATGAGCAGATTACAGTATAATGTCATCTCAATTCTGACTTCATAAAGAAACTAAAAATCTTAAATGTTGATACAGACTACTCATATTTTTTAATTTGTATCATTTCCAGTGTGTTGGGTTGGAGTGTAAATTTGATTCTCACCCCTTGATTAGCTCTTTCAAAGATCTCTTCCTCCTGAAATAAAACATTATAATTATAATTATTATGACAGGTAATTTTCAAAAGCAATTATTTTGAAAAATCCAAACAGTATATTATAAAATATGAAATTTTAATTTATAGTGGGATGGTTGTATCATTTTGTAACAATTAGTAAGTCTATTTTCATAAACTAAGCCACTAACAAGAGTTATTCCAATTTTAATATGACAACAAAAAGGGAAATGTATTGGTACATTGGTGCTAAACAATTCATTTTGTATTATCTCACAGGCATACATGTACACCAACAATGGGTTCCAATTCCTCATGGCAGTACATTTTCATGTCAACTGACATTAAACGTCAAATTTTCAGTGGGCAAAAATACAAGCTAAACAGACATTGCAAAACCCATATGTTTTCTTTCTTTTCACTTAAACATTTCTGATGAACTGTCACTTTAAAAATTTGTAATAATTATCAAAGGCATGTGAATATGAAATACTGAAGAAAATTGTTATTAATAAAATTTCCACGCTCACTAACTCTTTCCCAAGTACCTACATCCTCACTGACACAACTCACCGTGATATAAGCATCCACTGGGGACCTGGCTCTCTCAGGAGTACGAACACCATCAAGGATCTCTTCAAGGAGTCTTGTTGCAGTCTCCACTGCTTCTCTGTGAGCCAAATCATCCTCAATTTGCTGCCTGGCTTCCTTGTAGATGTCCTCTTCTAACGCTACACCTGCAAGTAAATTAACTTGCTGCTAAAAATGCTCTAAGAAATGTATGTGATGAGTTGTTGGTGGTAAACTGAAAAGAACAAAGCCAAGTATCAAGAGGGTTTCTTTAGACATAATTTAAAGTATCCTATAACGTTAAGTAAAAAAAAAAAAGTTGTACAAAACAGTTTTCTGATGATGATAAATGAAAGAGATTTAAAAATAAAAAGACTGATATCGGGCCACCAGCTGGTACATGTACCTTACCACCTTTTAACTGCATGACCACACTTTCATAGGACCACAATCTTTCATTATTACAGACAGCTTTTGTTAATGGCAGTAATCATGTTTTATGTTCTACAGAAACTGAGGACTGTAACTTTGGTCCATGTTCTCACCACACTGAACAATAATGATCCCTCTCCATGTGAATTGTGGTGTTTAAATTGACTAAAGCGAGTCATCTGCAGATGACGAGGTTAGCTGAAGCTTGTTACTCACAGACAACTAACAGCAGTACTAATCCTAACACTGCAATCTACCAAACATGTGGACAAACGAGAATATTTCAGCACAACCCATCCAATAATTACAAACAAACCATACACTCTATGATAGCCCTAATTTTTTTAAAATCTTATCCAACCAAATCATTCCAATCCTCCTACAGCTGACTGCTCTTAAAAAAGAAATGGAATATTCTTCCAATTAAATTTTGGTTTATTTCATAGTTTATTTGCAGTGAAATTGATTTAAAACATTTTTTAATTTCACAGCAATCTCCTTTTGGTCTAAAAACTTTACCCCATAGGAAAAAAAAACCCAACACCAGAAATTAATGTCATTGAACCAAAAGCAAGGCAGTCTTAGCAACTGGATCAAAGAAAGCCAAGTGAAGTGTGCTGGCTGACTGAAAAATAAGAAACATAAGCAAAAAAACCAATCTATAAATATTTACCATTTTCATTACCTCTTAGAGTGATCCTTATGGGAGCCCCACCACAAAGAGTAGGTCTTGTCATCAGTTCCCATGTCTCAGTGAAGATCCCAGCATTTGGAGATTTGAATATGAATGGGAACTTCAAAGTATCTCCTGGTAAGATTACATCACTCTTGGTGTCAAAGTAAAACCTTTGAGCATGTCCTGCAAGCTTGGTCCCCAGTACATTGGTCAGTGGAATTTTCTGTGGTATGAATGTTAGGTTAAGTAAACAAAATACCTTCACAAACATACTAGACATACATCTGTCTGAAAGGTGGCAAGGTTTTTGATATTTGAAGGGCATTTCAGTGTAACTTTTGAAGGAAGAGTTGGCAATGAGTAATTATAAAAACAGTAAAACTGTTATGGTAACAATAAAAAGTTATCACATTCATATTGTGGTAGGCTTACACATAATTCTGTTCATTGCAGGTCTTAATTTCCTAATTCAAATGAATTCAATATCAATTTTATCATAATTGTCAAATCACTTACTGTCCAAAGCACTAAAAAAAAACTGGTCACTTAGTACTTTTTTGAAAAAGGAAAGTAACATGTATAATCCTTAATTATATGTCTGTTTATTAATTAATATGATGCAGTTTTGAAAGCTCTCTTAATTGATACAAGACTCATAATTTTCTGATAATTCTAACCACAACTTGTACATGGTAGATCATCTCACAAAGTCAGGCCTCCTATACAGAAATCAGAACAACATGACAACTGCAAGTCTTCCAGGACTCAGGTTATAAACAAGAGGGAGGACAGGTGCTGAACAATACCTTCCAAGAAAAGTACACTGCAGTTGTTCCATCATTGCAGATATTTAGGTGAGAAGTGACCCTGTCTCCAACATTGGAATCAAATATCACGCGGCAAGCCACCCCTGCTTTCTCACTGCCTCCTGACCTTGGACCATTCCACTGAGCTGTGTGACCACCAATTGATAATGATGGTCCAAATATTGGCTGAGGTACAACATCAGCGATATTTGCCAAAGGGTCCCTAGGAATAAGCAACTCATGTTAACAGTAATATGAGAATAAACATGGACTAAATATAAGTGTGATGGTGTGTAATATTTATAGCAAACTTGAGATGAGTTTTATGTTGACCCAAATAATACAGCATCTGGCTTTTCTATGGTTGGGTACAATGATGCTATATCTAAGGATGCTATACCACAAACAAAATTTTCTTTGTTTCTGCTTGGTTCTCGTGTGTGTATTAATCTTTAAGATTGATACATGCATGTACATGCAGGAAATGTGTTCCTGTTAATCACAACAAGTAGTTTTATGTCCTTAACTGCTTTTAATTCCATCCCAATTGGCATGGAGCTATATCAGTTTAAACAAACTTTTGAAATACAAATGTTTGTATTGGTTCTATCCTTGGTTAATAATGCTACAAGAAATTAAGAATGACTAACCTTTGAAGTACAGTTTCATCCATTGCTTCACTTTCCTCTTCTTCTTCCTCTTGAACTATGGACATCATGTCGAACTTGAATGAATGCTGAGGCTGATTTGTTCCAATCACTTCAAGATCATCAATGTACTGAAAGAGAAAAACATGATTAGCATTTGCAATAGAGGAAAACCTGGCAGCATTTAACACTTACTAAACTATTAAAAAAAGTGTACGACAGATGGAGAACTTTGCAGAATGATTGCATAATATTACAATAACATATGTTTCATACACTGATCTAAAGGTACACATGCTCACAAAAAGTGATTATAATAAAGTAAACTGGACTGCAGTTTGGGCAACAGACTGAAGTACAAAATGTAGGTCGAATAACCCAACAGCATCAGCCTTATCATTACAAGATTTCTTTCAAATGGAACAATCCACAGAACAAAAGAAGGGACTTCCTAGCACTTCATACAGTAGAGTTTTTTACTATAGTATAGATTAGCCATCTACATAGGACAACAGTTGTGTAAAATTGATACCCATGACATGCAAAAACCTGGAAATGTCAGAGACAATACTGCAGCACCTTGCTTCACTTACTGGTTGGTGTGGGTCTAACTCATTTAAAACATTTTGAAGCTGTGTAGTTCTCTCCTGAAGATAACTAGACTTCTGCCAGGGGTAGTGCACTGATACTGACCTATGGGTGTTGGACCACTCTATGCCTAAAAAACAACAACTGGAGTCACACCGTACCACTGACTCTCAAAATTTTACAAGCTAGCCCAAAGCTCTGCTCATAGCAAATAATTATTTAACAACCTCATCAAACAAAACCATGGACCACCAGAGATTCCTCAAAAAAATAATAAAAAGCTTCTACTAAAGAGAACATACAGAGCTACCTGGTGACAGTGAAAAGTCTGCTTTTAGTTTTAAAAAGGTGATTCCTTTCCTTCTTCCTTATACATTATCTTCTCAACATCACAATAATTTGTTTCTTACTTTTATCACCCCTTCAAGAAAATTTCTTCACACAATTGCTTCAAATGCAGAAAGGGCATGAAAATTCAAATTGTTGCCATTAACATTGAATGGCAGCAACAGTGGTTGAACTCAGCCTTAATTGTTCCTTACCCATTTCATTCTTGATGTATATGGGTTTTCCAATGTGTTCAATGGCAGGTGGATAGCCTCGCTCAGTCTGTGTCAAAGTCATACTACATAAAGAGATGACATCAATCAATGTCACAGTCTTCTTATTCAAATACAATTATCAAACAATCATATTACTCCTCAAAGAAGTGGTGAGGCACCAAACTTAACAGGTGTCTCCTGCTTTTGTGAATGGATATCAAGTTAAACACTAAACACTTCATTCTAAGACAAATTAAAAAAAAGTAACCAAAACTAAAAGTTGTGGTTAATTGATTTGATGTAGAAGTTCAGAAAACTCCTTAGGAATACTGTCCAACAATCCGTAGAAAGGCAACCCTGACTAAAGTGATCGTAGTTTCAATGTTCTTGATCAAGCTGAGGTCAACACACTGCAATGCTCTTTTCAGGCCAGTGCAGTCCAAACTTCATTGACTTACAAGAGTGATGGTATTAATGATGATTTAAAAACATAAAGCACAGTCTTACATTATTGAAATCCATAACTTTTCATAAATTAAAGTAATCAAGCTGATTATGGAGTCTTACTTGATCCCTGTTTCATCATTTCCTATTTGCTCGGCCTGTTTCCAAAACTCACTACCAACACGATCTGCACAAAAGAATTTAGAAATTTAACAAGCAGCCTTACTTAAAGAGTGTTGCTGTCTAAACTCATCAATTCACAAATGATAATGCTTATCAGCCAAATTGGTGTAAAAAAACAAAACAAAACAAAAAAAACATGAAATACGAAGTAAAGAAAAAGTTACTGCCTAAAAATTATTTCAACTTCTTAAACTTACATCCTTTTCCATAATCCATTGATGGGATGGATCTGTCAATGGCATACCTTTCAAAGTAAATGATAAAATAAAACCATCAGTTCTGAATATCAACTTTTCTTTTCAGCTTCAAGGCCATTAAAAAGTAATTGAGATAATTACCACTGCCAAAAATTTTCTTTTCATTTAATTGGGTTAAATGTACCTGTCTTCTTGTGTTTCTCTATAATCCTCACTTTGGTTCATAACCAACATATCTGTTGATGTGTTTAGTGCATCTAGATAAAAGAACAATAAATGAATTCAAATTAATAATATTCTAACATTAATCTTGAGTTTATAGAAACCACAAGTCAGAGTAATGTTCAACACTAGAGGCCAGAGATATTGATAGCCTTTGTGCTTATTATTTCTTAAGAGAAGTCAGTTCATAAACCATGATAAATGATGATGGCTTGTTGACTTACTTGCTAGATGACGTTGTTGTTTCTTCCTCTGTATCATCTGTCTTTGCCAGTTTGTCAATGCATTACTTTCATTGATCTTTAATGAGAAAACAAGAAAGACATTATTAAAGACAAAATGATCCACGACATAAAAGATTTTAATTTTAATTTACATTGTGATGTATAATCTTTAAAGTTAATTTTTTAATTACGTTAGACATAATTATGAAATATTTAAAATAATGGAGTCGGAAATTGTAAACAAGTTGTATAAATTATCTGGAAGTATTTGAAAAGAAAAACAGGCTACATGTAAATCACATCATTGGCATCTTCTCTATGTCTGAAGAGTATCATTTTGCTTTTTTGTAGGCCAACAATCATTAATCTGTTGGTGATCTGTATGCTTCAGGTAAGTTGTGGGTAACAAGATTATTGTTAGGTATTAACCTAATATATCATCCACACTTCTGTAGACAAAATTAGATGCTACATCAGATGGGAAAACAATTTGAATGATAATTCTCTGATATTATAAAATACAGTAAAATTTTTTGCGATCATGGTAAACTAGTAGCCACACATTTATATGTCAGTAGCCTATCATCTATGTGTCAGTAGCCAGTCATTTATATGTCAGTAGCCTATCATTACTTCAGATGTCAGTATCCTATCATTTATTTCAGTAGCCTATCATTTATATGTGAGCAGCCTATCAATATTTCATATGTCAGCAGCCTATACATCATTTATATGTCAGTACCCTATCATTTATGTGTCAGAAATCTATCATTTATAAGTCAATAGCCTATCATTTATTTCAGCAGCCTATCATTTATATGTCAGTAGCCTTTCATGTACAATTCAGTTGCCTATCAGTTATTTGTTGGCTGACAGTTGGCCAACAGCCAGAAGAGGGGCTGCTCTACACAATTACCAGCCACAGTGCAGTGGCTTTTGTCAAGCCATTTAAATGCTTTACTTAAAAATTATGAAATTCTTAAATGAAACTTTTATAATATTTCAAACTTTACATGCACTTACCTTTGTTTGCCAAACATGACTGGAGAACTTATTTTCCTTTTCTGCATCTTTAGTTGATGGCCTAACTTTGCCAGCACCAAACTACAAGAATATTAGTAAGAATGTCATAAAACAAACTGGATACTTAAATGAAACACCTGGTATTGAAAGAATCGCTTTACATCTTTAATAACTTGATATCTGAATAAGGGATAACTGGTTTTATTATTATTTCATATTTTACTCCCATTAATTAAAAATAAATGTCAGAATATTCCTTCCTGACACCAGGCATGTTCTAGGGCTTTGTTGCTTTTAATGACAATACCTTGTGTCCAGAGAATGGAGGGAGATTCTGAAAGATAAAAATGAGGGAGAAACCATTCTGTTGAAGTGTAAAAATAATTTAAGATTGCAGTTACCATCAGGTAATATGATGAATTCACTACAAACTTAACATTTGCATGTTTATAACTAAAATAAAACATCAAAATATTTCAGGGAGGAACTGTTTTAAGTGGGTCATGTCACACTTGCCTTGCTTTGCTCAAATTTCCTTTTTAAGAAACAGCAGCCTTTTTCATACAGTAACTGCTCACTAAGAGTAACACTTACCTCAATATCTCCTCTCTTAATAGCTTCCTGTTGAAAGTCTTCCCAAGATCCCAGTATGGTGTGAGTCAAAACTTGTCCATCCTCATCAAAAACTGGACCAGTTGTACCTTATTTAACAAAAGTGCAAATATTATATTGGATAATTTATAATATTAACTAAAATTAATGAAACAAACCTCTGGGATAACTATAAAAGAACTAACAATAAAGGAAGATGTCTACAAAGTGAACATTATGGCAGAGTGACATATGGTCTTTTGCAACAGAGGTAAAAGATTTTTATGGGAAATTAAAGGTATAAACATTTATTACATTTAATTTAGTGCTTTTAAGAAGTTCTGCTGTCAAGAAAGTGTCAATTGTTTAATAATGTCTACATACATGAAAAAGTTATCTAAAACATCCATAAAGAAGTGGATATTTAAAAATTATTAATCAATTATTTGCTGAAGGCAAAGTGAATATTGTTGAATAATCCTCAAGACAAAGCACATAATTATGCCTAAGGCGAATAATTTTTTTTAGTATGATTGCTTGGGTGCTTTCAAATTCTGTTGTAAAATTATTGTAAATTGAAAACTGTAAATTCTTTTACAATTGTCTGGATTACTCATATTGAGATAAGCAGTTTTCACATGAATTAAACAAGTTTAACTATTAATTCCGTCAGCAAAAACTCCATACCCTTCTTTAGAAAAGTGTTACACCAAACTTATTAGCTCCTTGTGTGCTCTTCAGAATTGTATCTTCTTCTATCATGTTTATCAAGGCAGCCATTTTGAAATTTGTGCTCCTGCTATAATCACCAGGAGGTGAGTATTGCAAGATACAATGTAATCCTCAACCAATCAGAGTGCACACATCTCTATAATCACTGGAGCAATTATACAAAAGACATTTTCTAGATATTGCCTTACCAATAAGGGGAGTAGATACTAAAGGTGCATCTGAAGGAGCTGGTCGTGCAACAGTCATACTGAAAAAAAAAAAAAAAGAACTCCTTTAACCCTGGAATAAGAAAATTTGCTTTTTGTTACACACGAAATGATGAAATGTTTTTCTCACTTTCCAAAATGTACATGTCTTTGCTAATAACCTTGATGTCCAAAACATCATTATAAATCATAATTGTTAACCTTCTAACTCCCATGAGTGACCAAGACAGAATTTCTCCTTACCATATCATCACAATATCAAGCAGACAAGTGATGAGAATAAAGAAAAATATTAATGAGGGGATTATTAGTTGATTCAAAACCAAATTCTCCAAACTTTTATCTCAAGAACTATATAGCAGTCAGTAAGGAGAACTACTAATGAGATATTGGGAGCTAAAGGGTTAATGTAACACAATTAGTCTTTTAATACCAATTATCTTGTATCTGTTATTCAAAGAACACTCTATATCATTTCAAAGATGAGATATTATATGACTTATCTGAACTTTTCTCATAAATTCTTCTTTATCTTGATCAGATCTTGAAGAATTTTGAGTTCCTTTTTTTTTTTTTTTTCAATAGTTACATGTCAATGTAATTGCTAATGCAAATACCTCTTTCCCACAGGTTGATTCTGCTCCACTGAGGGCTTGAGTCGTGTCTTTCGCACCACGAGAGTTCTTGATGGTTTTGGGACTGCTGGTCTCTTAGGAGGATGGACCTGTTAAGTCAGGAAATGACCGTTTGATCCTTCAAATGTTCCAGAACATATTGGAGTAGACAAGAATCAAGTTCATTTACAATGAAAATAATTCAACTGTGTTTTCTTTAACTTTCTGTGACAAAACTTGTGGCAGTTATTATTTTGCCAGACAACCTGAAAGTGTACATCCTTCATTTCCAAGAAAGATTACTATAAATATATGCACATGCAAGTCTTCATTATTTCATTTCTTCATTATCATTCACTAACTGGACACTGAAAGGTTGATCTAACCTTACTGTTCTTTGTTTGCACTCATTATGACTTTTGCTTATAAACAAACATGAGCAGCTTACTGCACACCTTCACCGAAGACAACCCTTCAACATCATAACATGTCAAGGCCACAGCTACCGCCAGAATTGTAGAACGACTAATGTATGTAGTCGGAAAGGATTTAAATCAGTGATAAGTGTTAATTACCAGGGAAAAAAATATGCTTCACCTGATAATTGCAAGGAAGAGTCTCAGTAATTGTATTATTTATCAACATGGGGAATTTCCAATTGAGCAGGACAAAGCTTACCACTTGCCAACTGGAAGTAACAAGTTGACAGTTTGAAGCAATGACCACATCTTGGAGTCTCAAACTCATTTTTCTCTAAATTATAGCATGCTTCCTTTCAAATGTTTTTTTTTTAACTTTAGTAAGTGAAGCATGCCTTAAACAAAATTTTCTTTATTTTTCCTTTACCTTTTTCAGTTCATCCACATTGATTGCCAGAGAATCAATATCATCTCCACTTATGACCTTCCCAACAGATGGTCCTGTGCATAATTCATCAGGAATGTGCACAGCAGAACCAATTGGTGAACTCATCTTATCAGGGGTACCACCATCTCTCTTTTTAGTTTTAGCACTCTTATCTGGAAAATGTCATCAAGACACTCATTTATGATATTCATTTAGAGTTTCCTCCTTTTAATAATTATTATTAGTTAACAAGTCTCACCGATGGTTTTCTGTGATCTCCACCAAAGTTGACAATCATTCTTAGTAATGACTATGTGTAACCCTCAAATATTTAAAGGAGAGTACCACCCCCCACATTAGGTATCTTTCACCAAAGATTCAGCTACAGGTTCAGTTATGAATGTACACCTTTCTCCAACTAAGTTCAGATTTGTGCAATGGACCTGTTCATGGAAAAGTTATGCCGTTTAAATAAATTTGCTTTAATACTTAAGTTCCTCACCTTGAGCAACCCTTACATGTATATGTCCTTTAAAAAGTGTAGAATTATCTTCGTATGATGCAAAAAAACAATCAAATTATCCTACACTGAACAATGTACGAGAAAGCAGAGTTGTTGGAAGCATGACCAGATTTATCTTCCATAGCAATAAAAATTTTTTTGTCGTTAACCAAGTATTTTTCTTACTACAACTTCGATCAAGAGAGCTCAGACGAGGGCCATACGGGATAGCTTACATGTCCCATCTACAAGAAAATGGGCTACTCTCTTTCAACCTCTTACATGCATGCACCTCAGTCTCTCATGCATGCAAGAAGGCTTAGCGATGAAATTTTCCAATCCTATTTTTCATAAGTTTGTGATTTCAAATGCACAAGTGAAAGGAACATAGGAAGTATACACCACAAGAAGATAAAAGGAACAGTTTATGTAACCTGAGATATCAAAATGGGTTTGCGCGTCATCTCAGCGAAATTGCTTACCTGTAGATCTTGGGCGATCCTTCCTGGAAGGTTTGCTCGAAAGTTTGTTACTCATGTCGTTACCAAGTACACTGACACCGTTACACAGGGAGAACAGAGAAAGAAAATCTAGAAGCACTTCTGCTACGCTCTCGTAGCAACAGCCGCCATATTGATTGACAACAAACTAACTTCTACCGAGGGAGCGTAGGACAGTGGAATTTTGTTATCATAGAAACGAGTCACACAATTCAGACGCACAGGAAGAGTTACTTCCTCCCGTACTAGCTTGTCAGCATTTTTTTTTTCTCCTTTTATAAATCGTGCTTGGAATTAGAGGCTAAAAGCTGACTGAAATCGGGAAATAATGTAAAAGTTTCTGGCGTGCGGTTTATACCATGCAAATATCGCTGAGCACAGCCTTTTTATATGATATTTATCTCCCAATGAAAGGAACCAGCAGCAGGCAAGGACTGAAGATTAAAACAACGAAGAAGATCTTAATTATTAAATGTATGTTATCACAGAAAAGATCTCCAACAGTCTGCGAGTAAAAGAAGTTTCTTTGTTTTCATCATAACAACGACAGCTTGGAAAGAAATATTGGAAGGGGCCTGACAATTGGCAAGTATGCTTCAACTATTAACGCTTGGTTAAACGACAACAGCATATCAACATTAGTATCAAATAAAAACGCTAGCGGAAAAATTATCCAGCATAAACGTGTTTTTTTTTTTAAACTTATGGTGCGTTTTCAAAAAAAACAACTATTGACTTCGTGCATACGAGGCCTAACCTGGTATCTACTAGCTTTTACGGATGAAGCTCCGAAAAAAATAAAAACCCCTTGTACAACACAGCTAGAAGAAGCAAAGTTTCAGATTGTGTTGACTAGTGTTTGGAAGTCACAGCACAAAAACAGATGTTAACCAACCAAGTGAATTATTTTACAGTCTTCATCAGGAGACTGACATTGAGAAAGCCCATCTATTCCCTCAAATGTAACCAAAAAAGTGGCACAAAACCGAAGATCGTCTTCAAGTAATATCTGCTTAAATCAGTTGAACGGATAAATAAAGCATTTTGCAATCATAAGAAACTAGATGTTAACATTACACAAAGATCTTCAGTCTACGTTTAAAGCCCGAGTCTGAAACATTTCGAAGGCAACAGTAACCAACGGTTGGGTCTTCCAAATTGATAACGTCCATTGATAACAAAAAAATGACCGTTGTTCTTGCAGTCACTCTGCCTCGTCCCTTTATTGAGAAAAGCCACTGATTATTTAACTTTCAAGAGACCTCCGAGTTTTTGGTACAGTTGCCTGTTAACTCAAACAATCAGGATTCAGAAAGAGTGACAAAGGAACTTTCAACTACGTTGCAGCTAGGAATGTTGGCATTTACTGTTTAGAGAGGCTGACTACATCTTTCAATTTTCGTTTTTACTTCATAACTTATTAATGAACAGTTATATCGCTAAAACAATATGAAAAATCTCTGTAACCGACCCCACGACCTAAATTCCGCTTGAAGTCTCAAATCATACAATGATACATTTTACATACCTTAATAAGACTTTTCTTGAAAAACAAATCGCTGAGTAAAATTTACAATTTGACTTAAGAAATTAAGTCTATAAAGCTCATTAACTTTACGAAAATACATTTCTATCACTGAGCTATCTACAATGCAACGGTTTTCAATTACACATGAAATTCGTTGCTTAAAAATGTCGGAAACATTTTACGTACAACAGAGCTACATTAGCAAAATAAAGTAAAACAAGGCTATCACAGACAAATTGAGACATTAAAATGGGCATGAGCCTTTGAAGCTTCTCCAAAGTGGCGACCGAGATGAAAAGTTATCACATCGAAAACTAATTTTCACAGCAAAAAAGTGCATGGTCCAAAGATTGCATACTGGAAATTTATCGACACCAATTAGTATCATCGGTGAAATTAGACTTAATACGTTTCATGTTCAGAAGAGTTTGTAGGACCGTGTAGAGAGAACGATTTTCAGGCAAGTGTCGAGGTAATTCCAAATTGCACTGGTTTCGCCATGCTTTGCCCTATGACTGTTCCAGAAAACTTGGACAATCTCTTCAGCCAATCAGATATACAAATCTTGTACTACTTCCACCTTTGAACTCACGTTTCCCGCCCTTAAGGCAGTTTGCTTGTGAGTACCACAAGTCTTTATTGACTCTGTGATTTCTTTGGTTTCGCGTTTTACAACACTCCAGAAAATCAACTCTACTATAAATCCACAAACATAAGACCAAAATTTACCTTGTAGACCGACAAAGAGGAAGTGAATGAATTTGCTGCTAGCAAAAAAAGTTTCAATTAATTTGACGATTATTTCTCGGTTTCCCCTTCCACTCGGTTGCTATTCTGGAAAAGTTGTAGTACTTTTGGTATATGCAAGATTAACTTAAACAGTTAATTACGTTAGTTAATACCGATTAATTAAGTAAACAGATAGGAGAAAGGCGTATCAAATTTGACGAGACTATTAGCATACCCTTGTTTACCTTAATAGTTGTTGGGTTAAGCTTAACCCGCCCCGTACACTCAAACATTTAATTTTCGCTTGCCTATATATTTCCCTTCCTACTGAATGCTATCAAAATAACCACGGGAATGCTATTAGTCTGGTTAAGACACTCCATTCTAACCTAGAGCAAATAGTATTATTCTCTACCATAATGCACCGTGATCGATCACTCTGATCTGCTCTTCCGATGTCAAACAGTTAATAACACTGTATCTAAACATAACAAACACTCAAGAATTTGTTTAACCCCATCACACATAGGAAAAAGAACCATATATCATCTTGAGCACTTCAACAGCTCCTTCAAAGCAAGTAGGTTGATAAAATGCATTTTAAATGCAGTACCTATCTATACACAGCCTGTTAATTATATTTTTAAATCTTCATTTGGTCAATTAGGCACAACATCAAGGAGATAAATGGTAATCCTGAGCCAATCGCTGATAAATCGCATATAAGTTGTGCTGTTGTAGATTAGAGAGATCTCACCTCAAATGACAATGTTTATATTCATTCCAATACACCGTAAAACCACCATTCATCTACCTAAATGTAGAGTTACAGTTTTAAGAGCCTTCGTCGTCCCTCTCTTTTGAGCGCGCAAGCGCACGATTCTTGTTATTTAGCATTAAAAACCAATGCATGCGATTAGGTCTTTGCCTCCAAGAGAAACTGTTATAAGAGCTGATTTAGAGCCAAGAACCTAATTTCCACTATGGATGATTTAAGCTGCATCATAACTATTTCAGATATTTACTGATCTCCCTATTTTGACTATCCCTTCCATTATAACATACTGTCCCTCTTTACGTGAGAAGCGAATTAAGTCCAACACAGGTTTTACGAAGACACTTAGTGGTGATCGCTTGACGGACCTTCGAAGTAACTTTCAATAAAGTACTAGGCGTAAAAAATAATCCCAAACAGAGAGTTTGAATGCTCTTAGAATGAATTCGCATAATCATGACAAAACAATTATTTTGCCTTTTTTAGGAAATAGCAGGAGCTGAAAAACCGCTTACAAAATGGCCGTTCCTTAGGAAGCGAGGGAAATAAAATAATTTGTAAAAATGATATCACTATCAAAGCCACGCCAACCGTTTCACGCACTGTCAGCGAAGCCAACAAAGTGTATCTACATGTCAATCACGTGTCGTGTGGGCGGGGCTCGTTAATCGGCATTGTAATCAATATCTCATCGAGAAGCTGTAACGCCCGATGCAAATGAATTTCTATCCAGCACGGTGTTTCTTTGATGCTTTTTCTTGGGTAGTCAGGTCCCCAGCCTTTCACGAAGCTCAGTCGCAGTATACAAAGCCTTCTCAAATCATCGACACCCACGCTCATTCCTATCTGTGGTAACAAGGCACCAGGCCCCACACCGGTGGAAATGGCTGCGGCTTGAGCTGCAGCGGCAGCTTGGGCAGCATGAGCCTGTTGCTTGATTTGTCGATAACACTGACGTAAGTCAAACACCTTAATGTACGCGGATGGGTAGATTTTGTGTACAGCGTCCCCGGGGCAACGCCCTGCCTCTCTATCTAAATAATAACTTTGTACAAAGACGCTGTGTTCACTGAGACACCTCACCCAGACATCACCTTCACCTCTTAAATCTAGCTGGACTCCTTTTCCTAAAAAGACACACAAAGATAGAAAGGGCTAATTCATGAGGACAGTCCTTGTGTTCAGGTTCCGCTTTGCAGCTTGTTTCTAAGGGTAATACATAGTTCGTAAGACACTCTGCCTAAATGACAGGCTGGTGAATTCCGTTTGACTCCCATCCAGCCCGGGAGAATTTGTGACACAAAGATCCCAGAAGTAAACTAAAATAAGGGCTGATAAGAGCCCTACCACTTATGTGGCTTCCAAACAAATCTTTCTTCATCAACAACCGCGCGAACACAGATCTCGTGGGTGTCTGCACTGACAAAAAGGTAGTACGAAAGAGTGTAGACCTTCTACTTAGGGAAGATTCACCACTGAATCGATCAATAAAGACTTACAAAGTTTCATGAACAGACATTGAGCCACTAACCTATGTGTAGCCTCGCCTTCTCACTCGCTTCGGTTCTGTGAACGTTGGAGAGCTGACCAAGACAAAACCTGCTCCCACCCGAAGGATCAACATAACCATCTACTGTGACTGACGGACACGAAGACATCACCTTAAAAATCTCTCCAACCTGCTGGTCCAGTTCGAAGTATGATATCGAGCACCAGTTTTCTGGAGCTGTTGCGAGAAGAGGAAGAGTTAAATAAAATTAGACGATAAAGATCAAACTTCGTTGGGGGCACCCAATTCGGGAATCTTTTTGGCTGGCGCGAGTGTGTGAGAAGCCTAAATTGCGCGACCCTTAAATAACTGCCTTTCATCCTTCCTTCAACACATTTTTCACTTGTCACGGTAATTTTACTTCAGCTTTAACTTTTATTCTCGTCAACTGCTCTTTAAAAGGTCACTTAGTCTATTAATCTCAAATCCTCTAATTGGCTAATCGCGCGCTCGAAACCGGTCCAGCTCAAACAATACGGATCATGGCGGGCAAAGCGGATAAAAGTAAACCAGCCGGAAAAGAAAAATTATTTACCGGTCGTTCCGTATGGGAAAA